ACACACACACACACACAATGGGCCCCATAAACTTTCTCCTCACGTTGCCCGCGCGTGCAGTCTGGTAAAAATACCCCCCCCCCCCACGACTGTTCAGCTATACCGACAATAATTTATAATCTCATTAGTTTATTCATCTCTCCTCTTGCCCTTAAGCGCCGACGGATTTCGTGAAACCGGTGTGTGTTACCATGGCGACTCGTGCCAGCTGGCGTCGTTTCGCACAGGACCACGCGCGCACGCACGCAGCATCAGTCAGGAAAAGTGTGGCGACTGTTCTGAAAGGGAACAGCTGAGAGTATACATCAAAACACCTGTCCCGCCAAATGGAGGCGGTGGGCGCAACAGATGCCTCGCGAGACTCGTGGCAGTAAAGCCCCCCCCCCCACACACACACACACACACACACACACACACACACACACACACACACACACACACACACACACACACACACACACACACACACACACACACACACACACACACCTCCTACACCGTCTATTGGTGGCCGCTACTCCATCAATTCTGTCTCTAAGTGGCAGGCACAGGCCCCACGTGAAGGGGGTCTGGGGGTCCCGCTGTAGAATACACAGACTCTCCTTCAAGGACACCGTGGGTGCCACAGTGCTGAAAACAAGCATTCAAAAGCGTTCAGACGTCAGTCAGCTGCTTTCATGGCTATAGGAAAAGATTTAATAACAACATGTCTTCCACGTTACTGAGCTGAAAGTTCAATTTTCAGTTCAATTTCACATTGATTTCAGCGCGCATTAAGGTGAATCACCTTGAGGAAATGGAGAGGTGCACACACACACTCTTAACTCTTCTCCCTCTCCATGCATACCTCACCCTACAGCAGTGGAGGAGGAGTGGGGGGGGGGGGGGGGGAGCTCTCCCTAGAGATTCCTATCAGAAACAGTAACAGAGATGGTTCCAGTAACATCAGGAAGATGTAGATGATGGTTATAGATTGCAGCGCTCTCAGGTACATTAGTCTGTATTACAGCCTCCCCACAAGGCTACTTAACGCTGGCTTACAGTGGAATCAGGACGGCAGACGCAGGGCACGCATGCACAGCCACACGCTCACATGCATTTGTGGAGATTGCTTACAGGAGACATGGGTCACCTCTAACATACAGGGATGCAGCTGATGTATTTGATGGAGGCTTTTAGATATTATTTTCTTTTCTTTTCTTTTCTTTTTTTTTTAAAGCTCTCTGATTGGTGATGCCAGATCTGGCCGGGGTAATGTGATCCAACGCAGGCCTCAGGCTGAGGCTATATCGTCTACCTCAGAGTGGAACAATGCCCCGTGACGGAGAATCTGGGAAGAAAAACACCCGCTTTCCCTTCGCCGCGGTGTTGTCGTTGAACCGTGGAGGCTCCCTAAATTAAGAAAACAAACGGAGAGGAACTGAGAGACGATGGTTATCAGGCCCCATCAGATACCTGCGTGCCTGTTCTCCAGGGGCAGGAGCCGCTCTGCGAAACATAAAGCACTTTTTTGGAGCGTTGATGCGGCCTGTAAAGTAGGGGATCTATTTATACTGGCCTAGTGCTGTCTGTGGAGCTGTCCAGTGCTGAAATTGATGGGGATTCATGCTGTTTCACTCCAGCCACTTCTCTTTTCTTCCTCCTCCGCTTTCTACAAAGCTGTTTCCTTTCTCTCATCTGGATCATTTCTGTCAGATAATACTTAGCGTCCTCTGTGATGCTCCTCCTCTTCTTCCCTTGTCTTTTCTTTCGCCTTCCTTTGCTTCCTTATTGGATTCTCCTGTGTGCTCTTGTCAACTCAGACTTGTTTACGTGCCGTTCTCTCTTTCTTTTCTTCCCTTTTTCCTTTCCTCTCCCTAGTCACTCCTTCTTCTCTTCCGCTGTGAAAACATCGCAGGAAGTGGTCATCTTTTTTTTTTGAAGCTCTTCAATTATGCCTTATTCTCCACAACCTTTCCACTGGGATGAGCTTGCATGCAAAATTGCACACACACACACACACACACACACACACACACTCAAGGCTGGAGGACTGTCAAACACACTGACGAGAGTACGAACGTGTTTAAGTCCTCCCTCCTGCCAATCCACGGGTCAGAATATCTCCTTATGGCTACACGTTGTGCACATACTGTTGTGCTGTCCCAGAACACGTGTCTAGGGTTTCTTTGGGGGCCCGCATTGCCCCTTAGTCTCTTACAGCACAAGATGAGGCAATCAAGAAGGCAGGCAAGGGCACAGTGCACTCTGTGGGAAAGAGAAGAAAGTGAGTGGAAGAGGGGGAGGATGGCAGGAGAAGGGAAATAACAGGCAGGGTTTGGGAGAGAGCGAAAGGAGGAGGGGGGGGAATGAGCGGTGGGAATTTGGGCTGGCTGAGATGTTTGGGGAGGAAAAAAAAAGGGATAAGGCAAACTGATAAGAGGGGGAGATATGGGGGAGAAGGTGGGAGAGCTGGGGTGGCCAGGGGGGCAGGTGTTTCTGTCATTAGCTCCAGATTAAAGCAGAGGGCAACTCCAGAGTACTCACCTCTGATTCACACAGAGGTACCGCAGGCAAGGACAAGCCTCCCGGGAGACATGAAAGACACACACACACACACACACACACACACACACACACACGTGAGCACAAATGTTGGAGACACAGAAGTGATTCACAGGCTTACCCGCAGGCTCAACATCACACGCACATACACACACAAACACACGCGCACATATAGGCATATGACTCCCCCTCCTCATTTAGCATAGCTACACATAAAATACGCCGTGACTCACGAGAAAGAACATGCCCGCACCCACACATGATCCACATACAGGGACACATGATCACACACACACATATACACATGGTTGAGCTAATTAATCGAATCTCCTGTTTTAATTAGGATTCAAATCAGTTGCCGCGGTAACCTTGCCCCCTTGGAAAGTAAAGGTAAAGACTTGTGCGGCAGCTGCTGCTGCTCTTCGATGACTCGAGAAGAAGGAGGACAAATTCCTCATACAAACAATGATTCAGCTGGCTGCTTTCAACATTGTGTTTTGTTACACAGACACATTTTTGTGGGGAGGCCTGAGGTGCCTGGTCTGCACTTCAATTTGGGCTCAGTCACAGCGAGGGCACAGAATCGGGGGGGAAAAAAAGGGAGGAATTATGACAGCTCACATTGCAGCGGCGCTAACACAATGCACACTTTACCACGAAAAAGGCCATATGTGCCGGCATTTAAAGGAAGGCTCATGGTCTGCATAGGCCTGTCAAATCGATCACTAACACAAGGCTGGTCAATTTTTCTCAGAAAGTTTCATCCGGCAGGGCATGTAAAGCGACTTTCACACACTTCTAATGGGCTACTCATCCTCAGCCATTACCACGGCCCTCAGCTGAAGCCAAAGCAATGGCTTCAGCACGCCTGGAGCAAGAACTTTGCCCTGAAAACATCAGTCCCAGGGTTTTCACAGAGGCTCCGTTAGGGATCAATAGAGGGTATATTTGTGAGAAACAGCTTGGCACTTTCACTTCCTCTTTGCTGCTTCAGAGCCCTTCAGAGGAATCAATATGTTAACATTTCTGTTAATTTTGATCAGACTGAGAAAATATTTATCCAGTGACTAATAGAGGCTCTATTTTAAGCAATGTGGAGGTTTCAGTGTTTACACTATTAGATCTCACACGCTGATAGAGACTACTCATCCATTTGTCTTAAAAGGCGAAGATGAGACAGCTCAAACTGGAGTGAAACCATGCTGCCTTCATCTGTCCCACCTGTCTTAATAACGGCCCAGGTAAAGGCTGCCGGACTTGATTAATTAAAGCAGCAGAGGATGCCAAATAAGGCCATTAGGATACAGGAACTCAGGCGTGTGTCTGGCTCGCCGGTTGTCATGGCTGCAGTGTTTATCACCTCTTTTCCTGCCGACAGAAGCCCAGGGGCAAATCAGATTGGCTTCAGACAGAGAGAGAGTTGGTGGTGAGTGAGGGGGAGGACATATTGGCACGGCGGAGGGGTGAAATGCCAACACGCTGCAGAGGGGAGGCTGAGGACAGGCGTTGGACAAATGTCAATGTGGCTTATTCATGATAAGATTTTGCTTTTTAAAACGTTTGACAGGGATTGGAGGTTTCGAGGCAGGGTTCACTCCTGATATTTGCCAGTCTATACAGCAAACCTCAAATCCATCTCTTTTGTTTACCCACCTGGGTGTACTTACTTTAAGATTGGCATGGCTCACTTTTGTATTCATACGTTAACAAAACATTTTTTTTTTTTTTTTGGGGGGAGGGGGTCATTTTTATGCCTCAGAAAACTTCTCAAACTGAATTAAAAAAAAGTAGATATGGTGTCCCTTTCACGCCAGCATACAAACAGCTTTATCTCAGGCAGCAAGTCTGAAAAAAAAAAAAAATCAGGTGACATTTGCCCATCATCCCCCGTGGCCTATGCCTGCCACCTAGCGGCACTAACCTTCCCTGTTTGTAGCCCTGTACAGGTGAATCAGGAGATGTGCGTGGGGGGCCACAGTATCCATGGAGGACAGTGACTGGCATGTGGCTAGCTGACAAAAGAATTGACACCCAATTCAATCCTAACCGGTTACATCAACCGAGCAGATCAAATAAAACGACAAATTATGACATTTACCGCCTCTGACAAGTGGTCGGTTGGATACAGTCTCAAGCTCATGATCATAAACAGATGGCTAAGCAGCTTGCCAGATACATCCAGGTGTCTGCTCGCCTCTGCCGCTGTCCCATCCTCAAAGCTATTACAATGTATCCGCTCCTGACTTGCCTTGCAACTCCCCCCCCCCCACCCCCTGCACAAGTGCACACGTGCTCGCGTTCTAAACACGCCTCTTTGACGCGAGAACCAATCAGAAGGCGGCATAGTCAAGCGGGGCATTCTACCCACAGCGAATCACAGCGTTCGTTGTTGAGGAGACTCCCGTACTCGCACACGCCAAGGCCCTTGTGCTTACAGCAGGGGAAGAAGGTATGACTACACTCTTATCGAGCCGGCTTCATGAAGTTATGTTTGAAGTTTCGGCTTGTCTTTGCTTTGACACAGAACGTCAGCTAAACCCACTAAAACTCACCCTCATTTTAGTATTACTTTTAAATACCTTGTTTGTTTTTTTTTAGCACCTATTTATGTTTCATCGTGTAGCATATGTAATGCATACTTTCATCACTTCTTCTTAGTTGTTTTTTATTTTATTTTTTTTACGGGTTTTTCTTGCTGTGTTGAGTGCTGCGGTTTGCATGAGAGGTTGAGGTGTTGTTTTGGGTTGCTGGTATTTCAGCTGACTGAATGGGGCGAAAACACCAGACAAGCCTGTGTGAATAGATGTATTGTGGACGCTGGCTGGTTGTGTTTGACAGCCCCAGGTTTAAACCTCGGCCTCTTCTACAGAAAGGGATTTTTTTTTGGTTAAATGTGTGGCTGCTCTCTGAGCTTTTATTTTTGCCACCCTCGTCTGTCAAGTGGTGGTAGTGGTGGTGGTGGGGGGGGGCTCTTCATCATAGCTGTGTTCAGGCTGACACGGTGTGTTGCCGTGCTGAGGGCTAAATTACCGGTGGCAGCGAGCTGTCCTGTTGTTTATGGTCGCGCCTTGCTGTCAGCCCGCAGTGCCAAAGTCTCATCATCATCATCATCTCTGGCGAGGATGCCGCTGACAAACAAATCCAGGAACGCCCCGGCGTGTGACTCTCCAGGCTCAGGCCGAACTGAACCCTCAGCAGAAGCTCGGCAGGACAACCGGACTACAGGGGACGGTGGAGGAGAGGACAATGTTGGAGACAGTGAGATAATCAAGTCCCCCTATGACCCCAAGCAGTACAGGTAACAGACTCTCCTGTACAAAGCTTCACACCACATGTGGCCATTCTCCATGAGCATTGGATTATGCATTATGCTTGCAACCCTGTTATGTGATTTATCTCCTCTAGTTTGTTCTCAGTCATTGTTATGAACACGATGTTTTACATGCAGCGAGGATACTATCCAGAACTAGAAGGTGCTGAGAAAATGACCCAGATCCACTAACCCAGATCCAAAAAAGATATCGAGCCTCTTTTTCCAGCAGCATTATTGTGGTGTGATGAGCCGATTTCATGCTATAAGCACACACCAGTGCCTCGGGCCTCTGTGGAGCATACAAAGAAATATGCTGTGTAGAAGCGTACAACAAGATAGTCTCAAAGGATGTAAGATGCAGTCTGGTTGGTTTAACAGCCTGTTCAAAATGAGGAAAATGCAAACAAACAAAACAAACTGTAATGTACCACTGTTTCTCAATGGTCTCTGAATTGTTTGACCTATGACTTCCGCTCCCTCCCTCCAGGTATGTCGTGCTTGACAACGGGCTGCGAGCTCTGCTCATCTCAGACTATAGCGGCCCGGCGGAGTCTGAAGACGATGACTCGGACGGAGAAGAGGAAGAGGGTGATGATGAATCCGGAGGTGAAACGGAAGATGAGTCTGAGGAGGATGAAGAAGACGACGACGAGCAGGGCAGCGACGGTGATGATGATGACGACGACGACGATGACGATGAGGGGGATAAGAAGAAAAGAAATGCAGAGAAACAGGTACAAATGGGGAGCGCTTTAATTAAAAGCTCCATTCATGTTTTAGAAGCTTTGACATGTTAAGTCTCAGACGAGGGTGAAAATAACTGGAGTCATGTGGAAACCAAAAAATGTGCTGAAATCACATTTGCAGAAATTATTTATGCATGAGTGTTGTCAGCACAAACCGAAACTATTTATAGTGATGTTATATGCACACACTTTTTAAACACCTGCATACCTGATATGATATCCTTTGTGTGTGTCTGTGTGTGTGTGTGTCAGTCTGCAGCCGCTCTGTGTGTGGGAGTGGGCAGCTTCAGCGATCCCAGTGACCTCCCTGGCCTCGCTCACTTTCTTGAACACAGTGAGTAAGCAAACAGAGAGGGTGTTTTTTTATCTTTACATTTTCTTTTTTAATCCTCATCTTTTCTCAACAAGTAGCAAGAGAACCCCTACATAGTTCACGATCACCTATAAGGTCAAATATCTTCTGTTTTATTTGTTTAGCCCTAAATTTATACATCAACAATTTAGCCTCAGAGTCGGCGCAACATACAAAAAACACCTTGCATCATTTTGGATTCAGACAAGGCCAAACCCAGCTACCATATTCGATGCATTCTAGGAGTAATTTTGCTATTTTAAATAATTTAGTGTACCCTCTTTTCCTTAACCTGTTTGTCTACTTTTACTTTGGTTAATAATTTGTGACATTTCCCAGAATATCCTCCAACAAGTCTCAGAGAACGCACGCAGGAACTTGTTGCACTGAAGTTTTTTTCCAGTCCAATAAAAAAGCAAGAGTTGCTCTCCTCTCTCGAAATGCCACATATCTTGTGAATTGCATTCTGGCTGACTGATGTTTCTCTCAGTGGAGAAGTGGCTATGTCTGCCTCCTGCATAGATGTGGTTTTTGAGCATTGTTCATTCCTAAAGGGTCTGTTTGAAAAGGAAAGCGTGCTATTCCTACAGATGTCACAACTGTCACCAAATGTTAACAAGTGATATTTAGAGAAATCTTTAGAGCTTTGGCTGATTTTTTTTTTTCAATTCTATTGTGGCTCTGCGGTAAATACAATGCCACAAAATCTGTGTGTTTGGTCCAGCTTTCCACATCGTCAACAAAACCACAAATGCAAGGCACATACTCAAGTCACTACACTTGATTTTTACCTTTTAAAGTCCTTCCTTTTTTCTTTTTTTTTTTTTGTCTTCTCCTATATTCTCCCCTCTTTTGTTTGGTCCCAGTGGTGTTTATGGGCAGCGAGAAGTATCCCTCAGAAAACGGCTTTGATGCCTTCCTCAAGAAGCACGGCGGGAGTGACAATGCCTCCACCGACTGCGAGAGGACGGTCTTCCAGTTTGACATCCAGAGGAAAATCTTCAAAGAGGCTCTTGACAGGTAAAAAAAAAAAGGATCAGAAGTTTCTTTGTCTTCAGAGCAGTCGCTCTCATGGAGTTGAATTCCTAATAACCGTCAAATGATTTTCAGACAAATACAAAACACAGACATAATAAAAGCAAAAATAAAAACACATTATTGCTTACAAACTGCAAGTTGATGGCTCTTGGGAAACATCTTGGTAAGACTCATCCCATTATTGTCTCAGAAGAAAGATTTGTAGAATAGTCCACAGAGAAAACACACTGTCATGTCTTACACTAGCCCTTTTCAGACTGTTTTTTTTTTTTTTTTTTTTGCAAAAGCGCCGTAACTAGGCTCAGCCATCATCACGTCTGTGTACATTCATTATGATTCCATGATGACGTAATACTCTTGCCCTAGTCTGTGAATTCACATTGCATTTCGTCTTTACGGGGGTTAAAAACATATTAGAATTCTCCTAGTTCACATAGTAAGCAGGTGACGGATGTGATAATATCTGCGCTTTGACAGATGTCAATAAGCTAATGCTAGCTTTATCGGCTGATTCAGTTAGCTAGCTATAATAAGCCACAATCGTCAAAGCTTTTTCAAATAGGAGAATCATAGAATGTGTACTACTTTATTCAATTATGGCTATACATCAGATTTACTGCTACACAGTTTCTTAACAAAAATATAGTTAGAAAATAAATGAACTGAGGAAAAACAGCTAAAATTCCTGTTCATGTTGTAATTTCAACTCCTGCTGTGTAATAACTTGGACAAAGATTACAGGCTCAATCAGCCCCCTGCCATTAAGCTGTTGTCTGTGGAGTTGAAATGTCTACATCTGATTGTCTCAGTCTGACCGGTGTCTCTGGCAGGTAAGTGGCCCCTGATTATAACCTCTTTGTCCTGTCAACCGTCTCAGGTGGGCTCAGTTCTTCATCTGCCCCCTGATGATACGAGACGCCATTGATAGGGAGGTGGAGGCCGTTGACAGTGGTGAGTCTTGTAGCCTTCTCCTCCAAGCTGAGGAGTGCATCTTTTATCTGGTTCACTTGGAGTTAAAACTTTTCGTCAGCTGCTTTGCCGAGTTCTCCTCGCGCAGCTCTTTTGCACAACGTTGATCTTCGTCTTTCTCTGTTTTTCTCGAGTGTTTCTGTCTCTCCACCTGTCTGTCAGAGTACCAGCTGGCTAAGCCGTCAGACTCCCACAGGAAGGAGATGCTGTTTGGCAGTTTGGCCAAACCTGGACACCCTATGGGCAAGTTCTGCTGGGGTGAGTTGGTAAACACAAACTGCTGGGACACTTAATACACATGGGGCCTCCTTGAGGTATGTTCAGCAATAACAAACAGGAGCTGTTGAAACAAATGCCGAGGCTCCTTTTCTTTCTGATATGCCTGCATTTTGTAAAACATTTTTTTGAGATGTTTTGTAGTATCTGCCGCTGGATTGATTACTCACTCTTAACAACAACAGGTAATGCTGAGACGCTGAAGCATGAGCCAAAGAAGAAGAAGATCAATGTCTATAAGCGGTTGCGTGCCTTCTGGAAGAAACACTACTCTGCCCACTACATGACTCTTGCAGTGCAGTCTAAAGGTCAGAAAAATCCATTTCATTTTACTAAACATCAAATACCCGTTTTATTAGTAGACTGACAGAAATGTAATTCATAAATGTATTGTTTTAATTGAAAAAGCAATCTGTAGATCAATGGACAATGTGAAGAAATATTTCACTCAGCTCTAATGATGATTTATTTTATCCATGTTCAGCCGTCTGTGGTTAATAAGTTCTAAATAAACTCAAACTGCAATACTTCTCCAAACAAACTCCCATATAATTAGACATTTTTAACACGTTTTTTGTGTGTGTGTGTTTCTCAGATAATATCACACAGCTAATTAAGTACCGATTGCAATTAATGACAATAAGTGTTGCCATTTGGGCTGAGAAAATGCTCGTCACAAAACAGAGAAATCATTTGAACAAAGTGCTATTTAAAACCTGCATGGCATTTAACCAATCTTAAGTAAACATCAACACTGGTGCTGACATATATGAGAATATGGAACAACATTAGTTTTGGGTCTTTTTTTTTGTTCACTTAAACAATCTAGCAGTAGAAAGAAAAAATAATGATCATAACAGATACAACTTATATAGCACGTTTTAAGGCACCCAAGGACGCTCTAAATGATGGAGGGACCAAAAAAAGAACAAAACAGAGACGGGTAGCAAAAAGAAGATGTGAGACCCTTGGAGAGGTAAAGCTAAGTGAGGCTGTGGAGAACAAATGGTGAAGTCTTTTGAATGAGTCTAAAGATGGGACATGGCAGATGTCTGAGGGGAGAGTGTTACAGAGGGTGGGGTCTGTGACACTGAAGGCCATGTCTCCATAGGTGTGGAGTCTGGTCTATGGTATGGACAGCAGGTGAGTGTCGGAGGACTGGAGGTAACTGGACGTGGTGTGTGGGTGTAGGAGGTCATAGAGGAACTGAGGGGCTAGGGATTAGTAAGTGCGGAGGAATTTGCATTTGTTTCTGGATCTAATTGAAGCCAGTGGATAAGGGTTGAGGTGATGTTCCAGTGGAGATGGATAAGGGTTGAGGTGATGTTCCAGTGGAGGTGGATAAGGGTTGGAGTGATGTTCCAGTGGAGGTGGATAAGGGTTGAGGTGATGTTCCAGTGGAGATGGATAAGGGTTGAGGTGATGTTCCAGTGGAGGTGGATAAGGGTTGAGGTGATGTTCCAGTGGAGGTGGATAAGGGTTGGAGTGATGTTCCAGTGGAGGTGGATAAGGGTTGAGGTGATGTTCCAGTGGAGGTGGATAAGGGTTGAGGTGATGTTCCAGTGGAGGTGGATAAGGGTTGAGGTGATGTTCCAGTGGAGGTGGATAAGGGTTGAGGTGATGTTCCAGTGGAGGTGGATAAGGGTTGAGGTGATGTTCCAGTGGAGATGGATAAGGGTTGGGTGATGTTCCAGTGGAGGTGGATAAGGGTTGAGGTGATGTTCCAGTGGAGATGGATAAGGGTTGGGGTGATGTTCCAGTGGAGATGGATAAGGGTTGAGGTGATGTTCCAGTGGAGGTGGATAAGGGTTGAGTGATGTTCCAGTGGAGGTGGATAAGGCTTGAGGTGATGATGTCCAGTGGAGATGGATAAGGCTTGAGGTGATGTTCCAGTGGAGGTGGATAAGGGTTGAGGTGATGTTCCAGTGGAGATGGATAAGGGTTGAGGTGATGATGTCCAGTGGAGGTGGATAAGGGTTGAGGTGATGTTCCAGTGGAGGTGGATAAGGGTTGAGGTGATGTTCCAGTGGAGGTGGATAAGGGTTGGGGTGATGTTCCAGTGGAGGTGGATAAGGGTTGGGGTGATGTTCCAGTGGAGGTGGATCAGGGTTGGAGTGATGTTCCAGTGGAGGTGGATCAGGGTTGGGCTTATGAGGACTCTGGCAGCAGAGTTTTGGACGTATTGGAGCTAAGTTACAAGTACTCGGGACACTTAATACCTCTCTGTGGTCTCCTCAGGTAAATATTTGTCTATTTAGCTGTAATTGTATTTGGGCTGAGGTGAGGGGGTTGTCACCATAAGAGAAAACTTTCACATAACACCTAACCCCCTCAATAATGATTGATTTAGAAATAACAATAACTGCCGCTTTGAAAGTTCATTTTTAATCCCCAGTTAATTTCACAACAACTTTTGATTCGCTGTGGTACCCAGGAGTGGGTTTTAAAAAAACTGCACAAGATTCAACCGAAATGACAAGAGTATTGATTTCTGTCAGCAGAAAAAAAAAACTCACTTTGAGCAGAGCTTCTTTATCAGCTAAACAAAAAAGAAGCTGCAAGAATTTATTACGTCACATCGTTTTTTATGAAAGAATAAAGTCAATAATTGGCCTTCTTCCATGGTGCTGTGTCGAGGAGGAGTTTTTCACTTCAGGAAAGAACGCTTGCACAAAGACGAGTGTTAATTTTTCCTAAAAGGGATCCTTCCCGTCGAGTAGTAGAGTGCTCAGTTAAAAGGGAGGCTTTTATCAGATAAACTTGCATCCATCTTTGTCTGCAAAGCCTTTGTGTGTGTAATTTGAATACCACACAGGAAATATACTCTGCCAGTTGTGATATAGAGTTACGGAATGTAATGTAATAATAGTATGTTGTGACCATGGCTGACTATGATTAACCTTTTATTACTTCCATATACGTTTCTTTTAAGGCCTTTATTTTTAGAGATAGGACAGTGGGTAGAGTTGGAAATTGGGAAGAGAGAGAGTGGGGAATGACATGCCGGAAATGAACCACAAGTCGGTTTTGTCACAGTGCGTTGCCCAAGGGCACCTCGGCAGTGCTCGGGAAGTGAACGGGCACCTCTCCAGCTACCAGACTAATTTCAAGATTTGGTTCACATCGGGACATTAGCCAGTGATGTTTCGGTTTCCAGCCCAAGTCCCTACAGACTGAGCTACTGCCGCCCCAGAAGAACTGTTCATTAGCAAATACCAAAAAGGGAAAAAGGTCCAATGACCTCCTTAGGTTGTTTAAGCTTAATTAAAATCTGGTAAAACAAATTAAGATAAAAAGTGTCATGTGAAAAGAGGATTATGTTTAAAATCAGGGTTTCTCCAACACATCTGCCAACAGTAGCTAAACTATGATTCCTTCAGTGTGTACTGTAAGTAGTAGATAATTGTATACTTTTGTTTTTCTGATATTGATGCTTTCACACCATTTTAATTTCAATTATACTTTTCATGAACAAACTATGTTTTAAACTCAAGCTACAGTCACTTTGAAACAAACAGTCTCTGTTGAACCCGAGTCCTCAATCCAAACCCAGAATTATGAGTTTTTCAACCAGAATGACTTGAACTCTAAACTTCTCCTCCTTCACTCGCTCTGCCCTTCAGAGAAGCTGGACACTCTGGAGGAGTGGGTGAGAGAGATCTTCAGCAAGGTGCCTAACAAGTGAGTATAGAAGAAGAGGCTCTCAGTCACTGTGAGGGGGATGACGTGTGTCTGTGATATAGAGTGATACATCCTCTGAGACTTTGCTCGGATCTAAATGTCAAGCGTTCCTCCGTTTCCTCCTCAGCGCTTCTTTATCTCTTTTCATCCTTTCCTTTTTATCAACATCATACACCTGAAAGGGATCATTTATCCCTTAAGTCGAGCTGAATTACTGTTTGCTTCCAGAACTCTGCTACTGTTTGTTTTATGCATCGCTTTGGCAGTTGTTTTTAGAGCATAATCATGCATATCGCAGTGATGTATAAACCACATGACTTTCAGTTTTGAGGCTATCATATGATTAAAGGATTACATGCTTCTATATGGATTGATGAATTTTCTCTTATGTACGAGCTCTTATTCCTAAGCCTCTTTAACTTCCTTGACTCGTTTTTTTAATCAACATAACATTTGAAAACGTGTGTTTTAGGATTTGATGCTAGAAGACTGTTCGTCTGTTGTTGGAAACTTGAAGTGCTGTTCATGAAGAACGAATTGTTTCTCTGTTTTTTTGCTGGCTCTAAGACCTGTTCAGTGATCTGCAGGGACATATTGCCTGTTTTTAATTGGTACAGTATAATCAATGTAGTTTCTATAACTCTTTACTTTTTTCTTGTCTACAGCAATCTGCCACAGCCAGAATTCTCCAATATGCCGGATCCCTTTGACACACCAGCCTTCAACAAGCTGTACAGAGGTACTGATCGATCTTACTCTGCTCCTCTGAAACTGAACACTTCTAGTGAACTCTCTGTGGCCAAACTTTAAACCCATCTAAGGGGTTAGAAGGTAGCTCTAATAGTAGTTAAAGGAGATCTGTTATACTCACTTTGACCATTAGTTATGTTGTTTGGGACACCTATTGAGTAGCGTTGTGAGATGTGTAGCTTCAAAAGCTCCTTATTTCTCCCATACTGGTGTCAGTAAAATCCCTCATTTCAGTTTCTGACTGAAACGGTTTATTTAAGCTGCTGTCTCTTTAAGGCCCCTGCCCACTTTCCTCCGATTGGCCAGCTCTGTTTGCAGTCGCAGTGACATTTGAGTGAGCTTCTGGTTGGGCGTGTCCTACAACTTTGCTACATGCTTTGTTCTGATACGTCGGCAGAACCTGACGTCAGGTTATGGCCAAGTTTTTGTTCAGAGCAGCAGGAAACCACGTCTGGGGATTACGCCAACAACTGTGCATTGTGTGTTTAAAAAGACTTTGCAAAGGTTTCATACAGACATCCAAATATGGATCAGCAGAATAGATCTCCTTTAAGTTGGAAAAACGTCTTTTACATTTAACATTTAACACCCTAACCCTTTTAACACTTCACAAAAAAGTGTTTGTTGAATTACTGATAACATGTGGACAAATATGACACAACATAATAAGACAATGCCTAATAACATAAGATATGTTTGGATAAATTACGGTTCATTATGATTTATACATTGAAAACAGATGAAATGTCAAATGGATACCTAGATTTGTTTTCAGTGGATCACAGAAACGTTACATGGAGTTTTTTATAACTGTACATGTTTGTGTTTGCAGTTGTCCCAGTTAGGAAAGTCCATGCTTTGAATATCACCTGGGCCCTCCCCCCTCAGGAGAAATACTACAGGTGAGCTCCACAAAGTAAAGACACGGCACAGAGAGCATCAATGCAGAATAAGACAATTGAGAACAACCCATGTTCTCCCTCTAATTTAAAGAAATTACATGGAATTTGAATTCCCTCTCATGTGTCTGTCTGGTTTTTCACAGCAGTGTCTCTTGATATAAACATGAACTCAAAGGAACCTGAAGATGCTGTTCTTTACACTGATTGTAGGAGGATTGCATCAATGTGTTTTGTTTCTCCTTTACACATTCTTCCCTCCTCCTTCATTTTTTTTTTCAGAGTGAAGCCTCTCCACTATATGTCTTGGCTGATTGGCCATGAAGGCACAGGAAGCATCCTCTCCGTGCTCAGGAAGAAGTGAGTGTTATTGCCTCTGTCTGTTTGTTTTTCAGACTCGAGGGCTCTCCAAAACACGCAATTAAAAGGTCTTCAATTTACTGGGTATACATGAGCTTTTTGAAGCTCCCAGCGAAGCCCAATCTTCAAATTCTCCACCGACCCCTCTTGACGCTGTGATTCGTGCATTCTCTCAATGCGGCGGTACGAGAGCATTTCAGCCTCTTGTTGCTAAGTGGCCAAGTGATTCGCCCAAACCCCTCTGTAGTCCCAGTGTACTAAGAGCCCATCCAGTAGTCCCGGTGCCATCAGCGGCACTTTGAACAATTGATAGAATATTCCCATTTTACTGTGTGTGCTTCTTTCAATTGTTGATAAATGACAGGAGTGAAATTTTGAGTGTACTCAGTCTTTATTCCCAGTTGAAGCAAACTGCTGAGGCAGTAGAGTGGTGGTGGTTTTTATTGAATTGAGAGAATCACAGCCTCAAGGGCGTCAAGATGCAGGTTTGAAATTGGGCCACTCAGTGAAGCTGGGTGGAATGGTTTGTCTATCTATGTGTCCATCACACTAACCTCTGGTATGCTACCGAACAGATGCCTTAAAAATTTAAAGGACCATTCAGGCGTTTTTTTGTCCATTTTGAAAACACAGACTTCACACAGACTACAGAAAAATCTGTACAAATACCTGCAAATGTTTTTTTTGTTTTTTTTCTGTCTTTATCCCCTCAATTTTCCAGCTCACTCTTTGAACTCTTTTCAGAGATTTAATACTCACTTGGTTTGATCCATCGCAGTCGACATCATTTCATGTTGGTAATACAGTGCAGACTTTACGAACCGCCCTCCCCCTTCAAGTGCATCCTCATACCACTACAACATGTCCTCATGCAGATAAAAGCAGAGAAGAAAATCTCTCACCAGCTTAATAAAAGTTTCAAATCTCTGTGAGTTGTTTTTCCTTTGAAAACGAAGGGGAAAGCTGCAGAACATAGGCAGGAAGGCAGAACATAGCCATAACAGAATAATCTGTTATTTCTTCATTCTGGGTTTTTTTTATTTTATTTTGTTAAAGTTAGGCTGACTGCCTCTGTGGGGCCACCAAAGAGTGTACAATAAAGAAAAGGAAACAGAATGTTTTGACCCACTGGTCTTGTGTGTGTGTGTGTGTGTGTGTGTGTGTGTGTGTGTGTGCGTGCGTGCGCGTCTGTGTGTATGTGGGACTGTCTTTTCCTTTTTCTTGCAGCTTCTCTAAAAAATTGCCCTGCATCAACAAGTTGTGTGTTTGAGCATCCGTCTTCGATGTGTGAATCTTTACCATTAGCCAGATTTATTTTAAAATCCCTCCGACCTAATTTGTATATGTGTGTGTGTGTGTGTGTGTGTGTGTGTGTGTGTGTGTACAGGTGCTGGGCCTTGGCTTTGTTCGGAGGAAACAGCGAAACTGGCTTCGATCAAAACACCACCTACTCTATCTTCTCCATTTCCATCACCCTCACTGATGAAGGCTTCCAAAACTTCTATCAGGTAAAGAGAGTTCCTACATTTTGGAGTTTGTCTTCTATTGACTATTTATCATCTGCTGGAAACGTAGAGACACTGCAGCTCCGGACTGAGCCGAGAAGATGAGGGGAAAAAACAAAAAGCAGTGACTGATAGGAGTGTGAATCTGTCAAATCTCACAAGTTGGGTAAATGATGCGCTCATGCATTTGACTCGCTCCTGCAGTACTCTACTTTCATTTTGCAGACAGTGCATATTGAATATGTCAGGTCAAACTTTCTCTTACCCGGGGGATCGGAGAATCCACAGTGCGCTGTAACACTTTCCTTTAATAAGGACCGAGTGGGCTTAATGTCTTTCTGCTCCGTAGACAGTACAGGCAGTACGTTAGCATGTCAGACACAGCCGTGATCCTTGTTCAGTGTCGTCCATATCTTTTTATCCTGCTTTGACCCAACTGGCCGATTAGCCTTGTTTATTCTGTACAAGTTGCTATGAAAATGGTGGTATTAAACAGGAACACGGGCGGTTATTATTAAATACGAGGAGTTTTTTTTCAAGCTGAATACATCACAAAAACCTGCATATAACTCTTTACAAATGCTGCCACAGCCTTGAGACTATTTACTGCGATCAAGAGCTTCAACTTGATCACCCTCTTCTCCGTTCAGAGAGGGTGAACCTGCTTTTGTTTGGAGTAGGGTGCCATTGTCATTTTATTAAGCTTGTTCTACTCAAGGGTTGTTGCTTATTTGCTTCCCTTTAAAGTAGTAAGACAGCAAGATTGATTCACCTGTCTCTCGTCCTGTTGTCTCATACAGTACAAACTCACATGTATTTCTTTGCAGACACAAAAGCCGAGGATGCATTTCCAATTAACTTGTTCCAATTTAAAGAGGTCAAAGAAAAGCATCTTAACTTCCTGTTCGATATTGAAAATAAAATAAAAAGAACTGTAACCAAATAACTAAAGCCCGGCCGATTAATCGGTCGGACAGTTATATCGGCCGATAGTAGCATATCCAGTGAGTATCTGTATTAGCTAACTTTATCGTGCTGATGTTTTTTCACCAGTCAAATAGCATTTCCGTTGAGTTTCCTTGTTTTGCACTAGAAGTTCTCTTTCTGGCTGTCACCAGCAGAATGTGCTGTATGGATTGAATAAAGCCATTATCACTCTCCAGAGAGTCAAGCGGTGATGTTACGTACACGCGCAGTTACTTTCCAGTTGAGTGACAACTTGTGCACGTTATACTGCATATCTTTTCCACAAGTGTTTCAATGTGTATATCTATATCTATGTATCTCTGAAGATCGAAGATAGATCTAAAAAAAGATATCGGCCGATATATCAGTATCAAGTTTTTTCTCTCCCCAGTATCCCACATCGATTGGTCCCAACAAATAACACAATAAATGAAGTTGCAATAGTAGCTGAAGGCTCTGGGCCCCGATGGTGGTCAGGCGGGGCGGGTGGTGTAGTGAGTTGAATAGAAGAAGAAACCGGTTCTGAGGATCTTGAAGTCAATGCGATATTTAACCGGTAGCCAATGAAGCTGCGGAAGGACAGGAGTGATGTGATTTAACGGAGGGGGTGAGATGAGTGAGCAGTGTTCTGCTCTGGACCAGTTGTTACTTCACTGTAATTCAACCCAAAAAAAAAAAAAAATGGCATTGATTCATTAATACTCAACGAGCCATATATGACGTTATGAGTTCTGACTTTCTTTGTTGTTTGTGTTCTTTCACAGGTGACTCAGCTGGTGTTCCAGTACCTGAAGATGCTGCAGACACTTGGACCACAGCAAAGGCACAGTCACACTCACACACTGACAACAACAAAATACAATACAATTAAAAAAAGCTGTCTCTGGAGTGACTACGTCCATTGTAGGACACGAGATTACTCACACCAGATACTGACTAGTGAATGTGTCAAATATATTTTTAGTTTCTTTATTGCTTTTATTATTTCAGTAGTTGTGTACTTTAATCTGTCTGCAGGAGTGTTGTTGTTTGTGAGCTTCCGTGGTCATATTTCATTGTGTTTGCTCATCCTCTCAGAATATATGAAGAGATCCAGAATATTGAAGCCAATGAGTTTCACTACCAGGAGCAAGTAAGGATGCAAATGTGAATGTGCTGCTGTATTGAATTATTTTACTCACAGAAACAGAACATTATATTTGTGGGGTTTTTTTTTTTTTTTTTTTTTAGATTGACCCTATAGAATATGTGGAGGACATTTGTGAGAACATGCAGCTCTTCCCCAAAAAGGACTTCCTGACAGGAGATCAGCTGATGTTCGAGTACCAGCCAGAAGTAAGTCGTTCTGTAATTCAGGCAGTGAACCAGTTCAGGGTTTTATTCTCTTTTTTCTTTTTTTTTTTTTAAGATTAAAGATGTTAATGAATCAAGTCAACTGGAAAAGGGAGACATTTTTATTTGCCTGATATGGGGCTGATTTTTATGGCACACGCATAAATGTGCCAGAAATATATATTTGCTAGAGTTGTGGGTGCTGTCTTTGATTCGTGAATATTACTTTGCCTCAAAAGTTTCAGCGTGATTGTGGTTTTCATTTTGCCTGTAACTTTAGCTCACATCTTACTGTAATTGGAAGCTTAAATTGTCTCATATAAGTAATCCAGAGACAAAGAGAGGGAGGAAAAAAACAAGTGTTCTCGATGAAAAGTTGACTTCAATTTCTTTTGTGTGTGCGTGTGTGCGTGTGTGCGTGTGTGTGTGTGTGTGTGTGTGTGTGCGTGCGTGTGCATGTGTGTGTGTGTGTGTGTGTGTGTGTAGGTTATTAGAGCAGCTCTGTCCCTCCTCACCCCAGAGAGAGCCAACCTGATGCTGCTGTCACCAGAACACGAGGGCCAGTGTCCCCTCAGGGAGAAGTGGTTTGGCACACAATACAGCGTGGATGGTACGTCTCTTTGTGTGTGTGTGTGTGTGTGTGTGTGTGTGTGTGTGTGTTGGTTTACTGCATGTGTTACAGCTCTCCCCACAATATAGGCATCCGGTGAATACATTGTCTTTTTCCCCTTGTGTGGTGATATTCAGCCTGATATATTGCAGACAGCGCGCAGTAGAAATGCCAGCATTTATCTCTGTCTTTTATACGGCAAACAATAGTGTTGGGAAATTTAAATAACAAATGTCAACATTAAAGTCCTTAGGTCACTCGCTCAAAACACAAATTTAAACTGGAAATACCTTTCTGTGTCCTCAAAGACATCCAGCAGGAGTGGATGGAGCGGTGGATGGGAAACCTGGAGCTGAACAGCGACCTTCACCTTCCCGTTGAAAACGAGTTCATCGGTGGGTGAAGAGAGAGAGAGAGAGAGGGGGGGTTGTTGTCACCAGAACTGCAGAAAGAATCTGAAAAGTGTCCGAAAATCAACATGAGCAATTCCCGGTCCATCAGTTTGTTCTTATTTTCTCTCTTTTCACTCGTCCAGTGGATAGACCAATCAGATATATTGACCATACTTGTAGGAATAGAGCATTTTGGTCAATGTATTCTGTCTTCTGTAACGTTCCCTTGTTAGTCACTGATCTAAAGAAAGGGTGATAACTCAAGCTCGATACAAGCGCCATTCAGACAGGGATTATTTCTCTTAAAGAGCAGGAATGACTTCAGTATCATCTTTTCTTGTCAGTGATTTTAATCCTCGAGATACTTTGCATTCACAGAGTTTAAGAGTTTAATTCTGGCTGAGTTTCCTCAGCTCCGTGCACAGTTCCAAAACAAAGCGTTTATACTTTAAACATCAGTCCTCTCAAAGCAATGACAGAAAAAGTAGGTTACAGTGGATTGTGTCTTGGCTGGTCTAACTTTGCACAGCAAACTTACATTATGAGTAGTGAGCTTCATGTTTTTGAAACTGAAGAGGCGAGCAGAACCTCCATCACAATCAAAAGTGTCCCAAGGAAAGAAAGACAACTTAGTGTTATTATTATTATTAAGGACAGTTTAAAAAAAATGCAACCAAGAGATAATATTTTCTCCCTCAGCATTCATCTATTGGTTAATAAAGGTCTCAGCAAAGTGGCCATGCCTTCACATGTTGATGATGTCAGAAGAAGCTAAATCTATTAGCTATCCTGAGATTAGCTAGGGCTAATTAGCGGTGGGGAAAAAAAACACTTTTATGTGTTGTATTTATTTTGGATTCTGCACACTGTCCTCACAAGATTAAACAAATTAACTTCATGTAAATAAAAAAAAGTATCATCCCTGCAGGCCTATTGGTAAATAGTTCTAATCCTAGTGCTGCTAACATGAACTAGCTTTGAACGACAATAGCATTCTCTGACTCTGTTAGAAAAACGAAGGATCAAACCTGATGGAGCAGAAAATGTGAGCTCATGTGTTTGGATTCCAAGCCTTCTTCTGTTTTTTTCCTAAACCTGGTGTTTACATTACCCACAATGCAACTCAATCACCATTTTTTTTTTTTTAGGTTCATAGATTTGGTGCGTTATGCAATGCTATCTGTTGAGTATTAGCTGGTAGTCTCACTTTGCCCCTTCCTCAACCTGAGAAAATTTCAATCCCATTCTTGTCGTCTTCAGCCGCATCTGCATTTACTCAAGTGATTTATCAGATGAAGAATAGCTCCTTGAGGAGCCACAGGATTTTTTTTTTTTTTTTACTTTCTAACTTTCTAATTTGAGGTAATACTCCTACAGAGACGAGCTGTGAGCAATCTTTTAGTGTAACACTTAGATCACTCTCTATGACCATGTGACGTCCAGAACATAATCCTGTCAGAAGTTGGACACTTCAACTCAAACACGGTAAACAAGGCCCCTCTGGTCCTGCTCTAGGGTCTAAAATCTAGCTGCATGTTAAATCCCAAACTGGACACATTGCATTGTTTGAGCTCACACATTATTTATGAGATGGTACCAACTGGATTTACGGTGCTCTATTGTTTATGTGCATTTGTTCAGCCACCGACTTCACCCTGAAGCCCTCCGACTGCCCAGACACCGAGCTCCCTGTCCGTATAGCCGACAGCGACAGAGGCTGCCTGTGGTACAAGAAGGACAACAAGTTCAAAATCCCCAAAGGTAAAATATGCCTAAGTTTGTTTGTGTGCCTGCAGCCTAGACATCATTTAACATGCACAGTGTTTCTACACTATATCGACTTCTAGTATCATTAGGAAGTGTGTTGACACTGGTTTGTCCTTTTTTCCTGCTGCAGCCTACATCAGATTCCACATAATCTCTCCTGTAATCCAGCAGTCTGCTAAGAAGTAAGATCAGGCTTAAATATGACCTTGTGCAAATAGTGTTTGCAACACTGATTTACATAGCTGCCTTTCTCATCCCTCACTCTTTTTTTTTTTATCTGTTCCTTCTCTCCCTGCTCCTACACTTTCATCCTCTTTCCTTTTTTTTTTTATCACTTTTTACCCTTCTTACCTTCTGTCCTTCACTACTTCCATTTCCTCTTTCACCTTTCTCCCCCTCCCTCTCCTCTTATTTATTGCCGTCTCTTTACTTTTTATCTTCCCTGTCTCTTTTACTGCCTCGCTTCTTTTCACCCTATCCACCTCTTTCCCCTGCATCTCATCCTTCTCAACTTCTCTCCTCCACCTCCCCTCCTATCTCCATTTCACATCCCCCCCCCCCCCTTTTTTTACCTTTCGCTTTTCTCTACTCATACTCCATCTTTTCTCCCCCCCTCCAGTGTGGTCTTGTTAGACCTGCTGGTCAACATCCTCGGACATAACCTTGCAGAGCCGGCCTATGAGGCTGAAGTGGCTCAGCTGGAGTATAAACTGGTAGCTGGTGAGCACGGCTTGGTCATCAAGGTTAAAGGGTTTAACCACAAACTGCCTGTGAGTCAATGCACATATAGACACTACACACACACACACACACACACACACACACATAGATAGGCATTTGTGTAGAACCACAAACTGCTTCATATTATATCAGTAGAAATACTTTTTTCTTCCTGTTTCCTTTGCGACATGTATTTGTTATTCAAGGTAAATCACATAGATAGGCAGACATGTTTGACCTATTTGAGCCTATCACAGATATTAGAACTGGGGTTTGTGGTGAGGCAAAACCTGTGTTATATATGTTACATAGAAGAAAAAAAAAAAGGTTATTAGAAATAAAGGTTTGGGGTGATTAGGAAACTGTGTCATCTTATAGTGGTACAGCAGAGCTGAATCTAAGACTATATCGTTTTGTGGTTCTCAACTGTTCTCACCCCACGGCCCGCCAACAACTCGTAATGAGAAATTTCGATGCAAATTTCTGACATTTTTCAACCAATCAGATTTATTTCTGAAGTTAGCACCTTGGATGGTAAAGATCATGCTTCAGCACAAAGAGATGGAACAAATCAAATCTGTTTTAAAAGTGCTTCATAATCTCTTTGACACTATTCACAAACATTCGCGACCCAGTTTTAGGTCTCAACCCACCAGTTGAGAAAACCACTGCTTTACAATATACACACATGCAGACAGACAGACATTTGATCTGTTCAGTGTATGGTACAGTAGTCTACACTGGGGCTGTTTGACATCATATCAGAATGTCACATTTTTCTTTTGAGAAAGTGATTTTCAGAAGTCAGCAGTCAATTCACATATAATTTTTTTTTCATTGCAGCTCAAAAACGAATGAGTTAGCCTTCATTGCTGTTATTAAAAAATCAGAATACCATGGTTATACTGTAAGCAACAACTGAAAACCACTTTTTTATGGGCTATATGTATTTCCATCGTGAATAAAGAATTCAAATCCATAGGATGACAATTTGAGAAACAAAAAAGTCTGAATAGCTCTTTGAGACTTAGATGAGAAGACTTAAAACACTCTCATGTAAATATGAAGCTGGAGGGGTTGGATTGAACCTTAGTTGTGGGTTAGAGGTTACCGGTAATTGTTCTGTATTTATCTGTGCATATGGCTATTTAAGAAAAGAAACTCCTGAAACAGACACATCAAACTGAACACAGCTTACCGAGCTGATAAATCTGTCAGCACGTCCAAAGTTAAAGCTAATCCAACTGTCCCCTGATTACAGCGTCATATTGACCAAATAGACATGACAGTGAGATCGTTTCCTCATTCAAGTCTTTGCAGAAAGAGAATGTGATATATTATATTTCTAAAATACCAAACGACTCCTTTAAGAAATGAGTTATGCAGAACTAGTCCTCCCTCTCTGCTTCTTAACCACATTAAAGAGACAATCGGTGAAAAAAACATTTCCAGCTAGATTGGCACAGTGTCATGCATGCTTACTCCTATGTTTATTCCTGACACACAGATGTGTTTGCTTTGTGTACGTGCATGATAATGATGGTGATGGTTTTGTCTCTCCTCAGCTGCTGTTCCACCTGATCATTGACCACCTGGCGGATTTCTCTGCCGCCCCTGACGTCTTCAGCATGTTCGCAGAGCAGCTCAAGAAAACCTACTTCAACATCCTCATTAAACCTGAGAAGCTCGGCAAGTAAGTTGTTTCCCTTTTCTCTCTCTCTCTCTCTCTCTCTTTTTTTTTTTGTCTCTGACATGCCCATTGTTGTCTTATCTTCAAGTCTGTGATGCCTTCTAGTGGTGAAATGTGCGACAGAACCTTGAGCCTTTTCAGTTCTCATTTTTCTTCCCCTTTCTCTCCCAACTCTGCTCCTCTCCCTCAGGGATGTGCGTTTGCTTATCCTGGAGCATTCTCGCTGGTCCATGGTGGAGAAGTATCAGGCTCTGACAGCTGGTCTGAGCAGCGAGGATCTGATGGAGTTCAGCCGGAGTCTCAGGGCAGAGCTGTACGCCGAGGGTCTGGTGCAGGGCAACTTCAGCAGCACGGTGAGTGAACACAGACAAGAGGATTAATAAACAAAAAGATCGTCTGATTAGTGCATTAGTCAGTTAATGCACATGTCTCCTCTTGCGTCAACTGAGTGTGAGTATGATGTCTGTCTGATCCCTGTGTGTGATCCCGGCCTCTTCATTAACCTGTATTGTAATTTCTCCGCAGGAATCACAGCAGTTCCTTCAGTATGTCACCGAGTAAGTCAGCCGTCACACTGAATGAACTCCCTGATGAAACACCAGTACTATATAATCAGATGGATATGTTTGCATCCATACACAGTAATTAGCATTAGCTTCATTTGTTTAATCCATGATGACCCTTTGACCTTCTTTATCTAGGCTTTTATAAACTCTCTCCTTTCAAACATTTTTTCCTCCTTCTTCCTCATCCTTTTCTTCTTGACCTGTCTGGTCTTCTTGCCTTCATCCACTCATTTGGTCCTCCTTGCCCCCACCCCACCCCTCTCTCTGGCAGAAAATTGCAGTTTTCCAAGCTGCCAGCAGAGGTGCCGGTGATGTTCCGAGTGGTGGAACTTCCGCTGAAGAACCACATCTGTAAGGTCAAATCACTCAATAAAGGAGACGCCAACTCTGAGGTCACCGTGTACTACCAGGTCTGACTACATCTGTTATACATCAAATCTAACACGCTAACAATATCATATAATTTAATTAAAGTAGACGATGTAACTAAAAAAGTCTTCTTGTTTTTGTTTTTTATTTCTTAGTCTGGCCTAAAGGCGTTGAGGGAGCACACACTGATGGAGCTGCTGGTGGTGAGTGTCATGATACATTTTCTCCATTCACTCCGTCATTCTTCTATACTTGACTGGGTTGTTGTTGTTGTTGTTGTCTTCCAGATGCACATGGAGGAACCCTGCTTTGACTTCCTCAGGACCAAAGAGACTCTGGGGTGAGTGTAGTAATGTTTCATTCTGCCTTTAATAAAAAAAGGAAAACGTATTAATGACATTTGGGAAAAACAAACCCTGAATAAAAAACAAAAACAAATGCGATCTATATTAATACAGATGAATAGCGTCCTTGCTGCAGATATGGTTAAGACAAGAGAATAACTTTTGTTTTATATTATGTTTCCGTCTGCATGTCTCTGTCTTATTGTGGATTGTGATTACTCTCTCTCTTCCAGACAGAGCAACATGCTAGTGCTGAACTGAAGGATTTATCTGAAGCTAGTTATTTTCATTCTTTACTCATCTGTTTTATTAACAGTGGAACATTTCAGATGAATCTGCAAGAAAAAAATAGCTTCTTCTGTTAGCTACAACACATTTGAAACAAATGGCATTACATGTCCAGATTTCTTCCTCATGTTGTTACTCTGATCCCTCTCTGTTTATCTGCTTCTCAACATCTGTCCCTCCTCCTCCTCCTCCTCCTCCTCTTCCTCCTCCGTCTTGTTTCATGTCGCCCTCTGCAGGTACCATGTCTACCCCACCTGCAGGAACACCTCGGGCGTACTTGGATTCTCTGTCACCGTGGAAACACAGGCCACCAAGTTCAAGTGAGTCTGCAACACAATCGTAACCTTTCATCCGCCTGAAAGCAAGATCCGATTTATCATAACCGCTTTCTCAAAACCTAGGTATAATATATCTTTCTGCTCATCCAAACCCAAGCTCGATTTATCTGCGCGGCCCTGCAAAGAGGAGCCAGCGAGCGGAGCTGATAAATGACTAAAAGAATCAAATACAGCCCACAGCATATAATATATCTCTTACCTCCCCTGAACTTTTCCCTCTCAGTACTGAGCTGGTGGAGTTAAAGATTGAAGAGTTCTTGGCTTCATTTGGGGAGACGCTCGATTCGCTGACTGAGGACGCCTTTAATACTCAGGTCTGTGTCTGTGTGTGATTTAGTTTGTGTACTTGTGAGTTCCTCGTTGTTATGGAAAAAGAAGAAAAGTTCAAGAAAGTTTTACATAACCCAAAAGTTTTTTGGGGGGAAATGTCAAGTGGCTCCTGAAGTTACTCTGTCGGTTTAATAAACACCATTCTTATCGTGCCGTGCCTTCAGGCCTGCTTTGTACAGTGTGTGGAGAAACCATGTGTGTGTGTTTTATGTACATACAGGTGACTGCTTTGGTGAAGCTGAAGGAATGTGAGGACACTCACCTGGGTGAGGAGGTGGACAGGAACTGGGCCGAGGTGGTTACACAGCAATATGTGTTTGACAGACTTAACAGAGAGGTACGGACCACAACTACACACACATGCACAACTTAAGCCAATACCATGTGTTCATTGTTTGAGCATTTAATGTGCTATAAGTCGTCCTTGTTGTGCCTTCCTCTTTAACTTATTTAATGTAAATGTAACTAATACAGAGAATGAAACTCATGACACAAAACTGAATCCTCGTTTCAAGTGGTGCACAAATACAAACTGTACATACGACCTTCCTGACATCATATTTTGTCGAACCTTGCTCCTGATGTTGCCAAACAAAAGGCAGAATCAGTGAGAGTTTCTACAAAAGTAATGTATAAGACTCACTAGAAATGTGTTGTAATGTTTTTTTTTTTCCCCCTGTTCGCTGTCCAGTCCACCCTTGGGTTTGCGCCCTCTGGCTTATAACAATGTGAAAGCTCTGAAACAAATGATTCTGTCAGAATGTAGCGACCCAATGCCTCATTGCTAAAACATATCCAAGAGGAAGCTATTGGTGTCGTTGAGATGAGGACCAGGGACAAACTTTTTCTAAGTTTGAGTTTTATTTTTTTTAGACCCTTATCTTTTATTCGATATGAAAATGTCGTACAATACATTTTGAGGAGATTTAGAAAAAAAAGATGTGCAGATTTAACCTTTAATACAAACAAACGGAAAATGTTATGCAGGCCATATCTCATTTACAATATACTGTATTCATAACATGAGTTGGCTTCCAGCGTATCCTTTAGGCGATGACCTCACTTGAGTCAGAGAGTTCACTTATGAAGATAACTCCAGCCTTCCTTTCACACAAAAACAAAACTCGATAAAAGCTGAAGAGAGGTCAGGACATGTGGGGAAGAGAGGGTGGTAATGACAAATGGTTTCAGGTGAGGGTCGAACCAGCGAGAAGTTAGCCAAAAAAATGTTGCTTTTTATTCGGGATGGCTGCTCTACAGACTGAGCTAAACCAGCTCCCAAGGGGCCAACTTTTATTGTCAATAAAGCACAGAAATCCCACTCTTTCATCCTATTAAAAGCTTAAATTATAACTGTGTCCAAATCGCTTAAAAACAAGCTAATAATTAGACATAAATCGATACATTTATCATTAAGCAACCTTGTGATCCAACTTTATGGACATGAATCCTAGGTTTTCTTTCATTATTTCTAGTTATGGCTCGTCTTCTGAGGGTCTCGTCTTTGTCTTGTCCATTCAGCCCTCCCGTTGTTCTCACCAATAGTGCTTCTGTGTGTTCAGATCGCCGCTCTGAAGCAGATGACCCAGGCTGAGCTGGTCTCCTGGTTCAAAGAACAGCGAGGAGAGAACAGCCGCAAACTCAGCGTGCATGTAAGCAGCGACTGTATGCATGTATGACACAGGACATGAAGGATAGTTCTCTTTGTTTGGTATTTAATGTGTCCCCGTCTCCTGAAGGTGGTGGGCTTTGGTGCTGAAGAGAATGATGAGGATGCTGGTGGTAAGAAACATAAAGGAGAAGAGGGCAAAGAGGAAGAGTTACACAGCTCTGCGTACGGTGAGGTGTCTAAGCTCACCTTCCTTCCTGCCAAGATGGCGGGCGCTGTAGCCATCATGGACATACCAGCTTTCACTAAAGGCCTGCCACTCTTTCCCTATCACAAGATACTTGAATGACCTCCCGCTCAGACTGTGACACGGATGGATGGCTATGCTTTGCCTCTCACTGAGCGGACTCTGTCACATTAGAGATGCAGTCACTTAACATGTGGAGGTGAAGGAATTCTGAAACAATTGTGGCTTCTCTATGGACCTGGATTCTTCTTGGGAGCCTCGGCTGTAGATTTTAACTAAACTGTGTGTGTATGCAAAACACCTGAAGGTGATAATAGACTTTTCTTGAAGTGATACATGATAAGCTATTCTTCTTTCTCACACCTAATTATTTTCAATCCTCAGACACCAGGAGTGTGTAAGCACGCTTTCTATTTCTCTATCCACACTGACTGAAGATCGTTGGATCAAATTCTCATTATTCGGCTCTCTGGCTCTGCTATTATAAGAATACCAAATCCCTGTTTTTTCAGCTGTCTGTGTCGGATCTCACAGCGAGCTTAATACTTTTTTTTTTTTTTCTTTTCAAATCAACTGTGAAAACTGCAAAGAATATTGAATCCTTTGAACTCTGAAAGGGTGTGTTTGATAGATTGTGAGCTCTTCTCGGCACTCCTGCTGTGTTAGCTAACTGGAATAATTACACCATGGTACAAAACTGTGCAAAGAAAATAAATCCAGGAGTGATGATTGAATTGATTAAAGCAGTGTGTACCAACTACACTTTTGAGATGTCTTCACAGTATGCATTCGCTGAAACTTGTCACACATAAGGGTTAAAGGTCACAAAGTATGCAAAATACACATTACCATGTTTTTCTAACACTAATAGGTGTCCCTAGTCCGTCTGCAAACCCCAATTATGACAAAAGTCCATCCCCTCTGTCTTCTGTCTGCTCCTCTTTTCAGAAAATGTGTGCTCAAATGGCCTGTTTGGAGATGTTCCCTTTATGACATCACAAAGGGCAGTAACCCCTCCCCCAGGTGGGTGACACTCCCATAGCTACGTGTTTGTTCAGCCCTCTGAGTCCGCCTTCTCATCGTGAACAAAAGGGCATGGAAAGAGAAACATCCCCTTCCAGAGGGGCGTGGCTGAGCTCAGCTCATTTGCATTTAAAGCTACAGACACAGGAACAGCCTGTTCTGAGCAGGGCTGAAATAGAAATAGAGGGGTTTATACGCAGGATCAGAGTGGATTTATAACAACAAACTTCACAGATATGTTTTGGAGAGCTTTGAGACTTGTTTAAACTTGTTAAAAATATATATAATATACTATAAAAATATAATGTATAATTTATTTATATCACTTTCTTTTCCCGGTTGGTCCTAAATGTGGGAGGCATTTCAATTTGAAATACTTTGGCGCTTCCTTTAGCTGTTGATTGAATTTAAATGATACATTTGCGGTGCAAAACACATGACAAAGGATGTGTGACAAACAGCATGGTCCTCAGAATGCCACCAGCTGTTTAATTTACACAGGTTTTTGATTGTGGTGTTGCTTCTACACCAATCACACAGTCACTACTTCTCTCCTGGGGACGAGGTTGTTGTGCGAGATCGTGTCAGACTCGTGGCTGATGACACTCTGCACTATTGAGTGTAATTAAAAACTAATCCCGAGCCCAGCACAGCAGAGCATGTTAACAGAATTGAGTAATATGCCCACAGGGATGCCTGTCTGCAGGAAAGTCTTCACCTGCAGTAGTCCCACATAAATCATTATCTACAACTGGTGGTCAAACAGCTTGCTTAAAATAATAATTAAAAAAAAACTTTATGCAAACAGTCGTTGTCAAATGTGTTTGGAAATTAAAACATTGAATTTATATGTGACTGTTAAACATCTCAATCCAAAAACTTCTCCATCTCCTGTAAGCATGGTTATTTAATGACTGGTTGCAACTATTAAGTTCTATCCAACCGCATAAGCACATGGACCCAACACAGGTTTGGCTGCGATCCAGTTTATCACAAAGACGTTGGATAGAGTTGAGATCAGCCCTCTGAGCAGGTACGTCAAGCTCTGACACAACAATCTTTTTCAAACCATTTAATGAAACAATTTGATGTTTTTGTTGAAAATATTTCACTTTTTCCTTAAGCTAACCTAAATGCTTAACAACGTTAGCAAGGTAAATATGTCGTCTGCTGGTTGGGTCGTAATGGTAGCCAGAAAATGTGGCTGATGTTGTTAGAATGAAAGGCTGAGAGACAACAGACCGGGTCAGAAGGAATTCCTGGATGAAGAGGCTCTAATGTATGCATGTCCTCCTCACACTATAAATGTTAGTGGAGTGGATGTGGGCCCACTTTAGGGAGCTTGGGTCACATCCTGCCCAGATCAGTCTCACACCGGTTTGCGCATCTGATAATGCTCTTGAAAGGCCCATTAGAGAGGAGAAATCTGTGCACAGCCCAGCACACACATCATGTTTACAAGAAACACACTGACGTTAAGAAAGAAAACATTAAGTGTGTATTTTACAACCAAAATAACAGAGAATGTGGTGTTGTAATATTGCTTAAAAAGAATACAAATAATATTAAGTAAGTGTTTGAAGATGATAACGGTAGACTGCTGATTGTAAGTTTTGAGTACCAAAACACATTCACACTGCAAGGCAGCGGTCCTTGTACTTTAATTTCAGAACATTATAGTTGATTTCAAAATCACGGTTCAAGCTGCAGTTGGAGAAATCCAGAAGAATCTGGTCCCTCATGGGTAGTCCCCAACCAAGGTCTGATCCCTCGACCTCTTGGCTGGGAGTCGGATGTCTTAACTACTTTACCACCATGCTTCCTGTCAGTGCTTGCTTTTCAAGAGTTTCTCATTCTGACATTTGATCTGAGTACATTAGAGTATTTTATAAATCATCTCTAGTGGGAGAAACCCAGATCACTCCAGCTCACCACTGGAAGAACTCAGCCAAGTTTAAAACACTGAACAAAATGAATATGGTGATCTGAACATATTCAGTGACCACAGGCTGCCACATCTTTTAATGGCCCTTACACACAACTGTTGCTTACGGCCATATACAACCTTATGCCAGGTTCCTCATTCACTTCTCTCATTTGTCATTATTTCCCTATTAAAAGTAAGGGGTTAAATTTAAAATAGGCATAAGATAACAAATGAGGAACAAAAGGTAATTAATAGTTCAATTACTTTTTGTTTAACTAATGGTAAATCTAATTTGTTCCTCATCATTCCCTAACTATGCCGTGTGTTTACCCATTGGCAGTTCATTTCAAATGTGGATAAAGACACAAACGTTGCTCCAGTGTAGCATCCACTTACGCTCCGACAAAGGTGACGAGTGAGTCATTTTAATTTGAATGAATCTGAGAATCAAAAAAAGAAAAATGGTGGTATTTTTTAATGGTATAGTCTGATTGGGATTATTTCCCCTGTTACGAAGCCCATTGGTGTCCATCACATCAATATCTCACCTGGAGCTTTGAATTGAAGACTGGTCTGATGCATATGTATTTTTTTTCCGAATCAGAATGGTATCTGGGTATTTTTGGCCTACTGCAGATCACGCATTTGTTGGCATACTGCAAACTACATACTGCGTACTGCAAACTGCATTCTTGCCATATCAGTACGTACTAGTAGTTTAGAAGACAGTTTCAAAAACAGCCCGTCCAACCACAAGCTTTGGCTTATTGGCACTAAACACCGGGTCCACTCGCTAACGTTTACGTATTAGCATTAGTCCATGTTTGGTAATACCTTGAATTTAAACACCTTGGCACTGAATTTGAATATCATGACATTATTCTTGACTCCAAACTTAATTTCAGGGCACACGCTTCCAACTGAAGCAGCCGAGATGTACATGCATTCAATGATTTTTTTTTTCTTACATTGCTGCTGTTTGACTAAAAGCAATTTTCCTTTTCCTTTTTTGTCAGTCAGCCTTTTCTCTCGGAGCCTCACGAGAATGTAAAAATATCTAGACAATTATCAGAGAGCTCAACACATACCGCTCATTTAGTACTCATTTGAAACAGTAGCTCATTACTAACCAAATCTGTCGGCACTAAAACCTTTTCCCCCTGCTACTGCCCCCTTGTGACTGGCTGTCTGTGAATTTGTCCTTTGTTCCACAACTTACTGTTGCTTGCTTTTCTTGTCTGTTGCAGTAGAGCTCATTCAATGTGTTTCATATGTCGCCTCATGTGAATTGTATGCTTCATGTTTGTCCTGCACGCTTCATGTATTTTATGCCTGTGGCTACTCCAATGCTGTCATGTTATTTCTTTATAGTTTTTAACAATATTTCATCACAAGGTGTTGCTTACACCCAAATACTGTGTTTTATTCCTTACCATTTCTTGTTTTATTTTGTTGTTCTTCTTTAGGGAGCCTATTCTAAAATGTGGCCAGGGTCTACATATTTAAACTCGCCTTTTGGCTAACTCTGGCATACTTACATAAATGTTGATTACTATGCACTGTCCAAGCAGAAATAAACATAAATAAAATAATAAAAATTTTATGCTCATTGGCACTCCACTAGCTTACATTTTCTAATTAGCTCACTACTTTCAACATATTCACCAACAAGGACATTGTGTTCACACACCAGCAAATTCACCAACAGTTTTTTTGACTTCATCAAGTTAACTCTGTTCTGATAGATGAATGCTTAATATATTCATTACAGTAACGTTTAATAATAAGCACAAAACAAGAGGAAGACTGTTGTAATGGATCAGTATTTGGCCATAAACTACAGAATTAAAACCTTTTTTAACCTGATGATGTAAGTCGATTTGGAAGGTGGGGATCATGATGTCTGGAACAAATGTTACTCAAATCAAAAGGTTTCACCACACATCTCAGCCTCTTGCTCTCGTTCCTTTATCTCTGTTTATTATATAAGAAAGGGCATTTGTAGAACAATAAACTTGTGAAAACAGTTAAAAAAATAAAAAAAAGACAACTCATATTTATTCTCTTTGATCGTCTGTGCTTTTGAGGATAAACGAGAATTTGCCTCTACCCGCTGTCTGCCTCTGCAAAAGAGAGCAGTAGTGTCTTGCCATTCTTGAATCGGAAGTCATGCATCAGCCTTTGGGGCATGAAACTGTGTCACAAGTAGAATTGCCAGTAAATGAACTAGGCTTGTGCTGTCAACACTAACTGGTGGCCCTGCTAAGAAAAGCTTTGTGACTGTGTCCCTGAGAGCTGCTCTCATGCTGTGTTCAGCTGTCAGAAGCCATTCTTTCTCATTCGCGCTCAGTCTCCATCTCTTAGACTGGATGCATACGCAAAGAGGAAGCGGAGCACAAATGCATGCAGACAAGCTTGCCCATGAATCAGAGAAGATTAGATTTGCTCAGCGCGCACGCACGCGTTTAACTTCACCCGGTGTAAACTTTCCACTGCTACACTCTGTGTCATTCCCGTTGTCATTCTAATTTCATCTGAGGAACCCTGCCAACGCAGTAATGAACTCAAGTCATGAGACAGGGGCCATGCTGAGTGCTTATGAGCCGTTTTGTGTGTCAGGCAGAAAATGAGAGGGAAGGTAGAAGGTGGAAGAGATGGCTTTAAAGAGAAGGGCTGGCCAGTAGGCGTGTTGTTTATGCATGTGTGTGTGTGTGTGTGTGTGTGTGTGTTTCTGTGTGCAGTGTACAACATTGTGCTGGTTTTAAATTAAGCAGTGCAGTGGGGTGTATCATCTAAGCCGCTGTAATGTGTCGACTCCTTTATTCAATTTGAGGAGTAATCTTAGAACTCCCACTGGTCCGCCTTCATCAGCCCCCTGCTACAAAGCTAGCTTAACTTAGCCAGAGACACACATAGGCAGAGAAATGCTAAAGAGATGAGCCACTTTGCTGGATCAAGAATATACTTAAACAAGTGTAGCCAGGCTAAATCTCCTCATTATTGGGGTATTATGGTCCAGATGGATCTTGTTTGCAGAAGTCGTTGGAGATGGTTAGCTCTAGTTGCTTTAGGGAATTTGGAAGATGAAGATATTTTAGAACAGATTTATGAAATAATCCTCCCTTCCTCATCCTCCTCACATATAGGAGCCAACAAATACGTGATTGCAAAAAGTCTTTTCTTGTTTCTTGGTGTAAATTTCAGCACCATGGACAGCAGATTGCAATCAAGCAAGATGTTTCTGGGAACTGTTCTGGTGCATTTTAAGGTGCTTTAAACCCCCGAGAACTGAGTTGTAACATCAGGAAAGTCACCTTCAATTTCTTTTCAGTAATTATTTTACCCTCAGATTTATTGTGAAATCTTTATATCGTCCTGGTGCACAGATTTCTCTTTCACAGAAACCCCCTACTACATGTGCTCAGGAGTTCAAATATCAAACAGCCTCAGGAAATTTGCTGTTCCTGAGGCAAGATGTCAAAATCCCGATAGTTTATTGATGAAGAGCATTTACAGTCATTCATGTCTGCATTTTCAAACATTAATATAAATACCCTGCAGCCGTTTCCAAAAGGTCAGAGGAAAAATGGTCCAGTGGGGCTAGAGAGCTAAAAAGTCAAAGTATCCTGCTGTGGGGCATACAAGTCAGCAAGAGAGATTCCTTAAAACCATATGCAACGCAAAAGTTCCTTTTTAACAGAGTCTGGCAACACTGACTGTTAACCTCTTAATAATTCATGTAAAATATACTATTTATCCAAGGGTAGTTATAGGCCTATTTAAAGGTCAGATATCATGCAACATACACTTCACCATGTTTTTCTAACATTAATGTGTTTCCTTAGTCTGTCTACAAACCCCCCAATTATGAGAAAAGTCCATCCTCCGTATTTTGGCTCGAGATTTTTCAGGAATGCTCAAATAACAGATCACATTGGATTTATAACAAACTAAACTTAATTCTTTGGAAATTTTACAGACATGTTTTGGGGAGCTATAAGATTTATTTTAACATATTGAAGAGGATAATATGTGACCTTTAAGTGATCCAAGTTTGGTATGATATTCGGTGAGGAAAATAAATGGATATCCATCGTCAACCATCCAGCTAACAACTAACTTTAGCATGAATGTCCCGCTAACTGCACCGCTCAGCTTTGTGCTTTCCATTTCTAAACTGAGCAGTCAATTTGATGTTGTAGTTTATGTAATATCCTTTTTTTTTTTTTTCAACAAAAGCACATGTTTTGTTTCGTTTTAAAAATACTTTTGCTATTGCTACATTTAGGTCTACTTGATCTTCATTTGACCATTTCACCACCTTCATTTTTTACCACTAAGATTCAAGAGGTATGAGGCCTATAGATGTAGCTATGATTTTACAGAATTTTGGGTATTAGACTCAAGAAAGACGGTTGCGTAGTCAAAAAGGTATTTAATTTTGAGTTCAAGGCTGTGAGTCACTTTCTGTAACAAAGGCAGTGTGAGGCTTTACTGCGTTATTCGTCCAGTTTTACGCTCAGTGTGGTTACAACCACCTGTCTGTCCACTGACACCCCCTCCCCCCTTCCATCCTCCAGGGAAAAAGTGATGTCACACGGTGTTCAACCTCCACGGTGCATCTCCACCCACCTACCCACCCACCCCACCGGGAGACAGGCGGCAGCAGGGTGCCGTACTACTCCCCCGCCCCCCCCCGTCCCCGTCCGCTCTGAGGACGCAGCCATGCCGACTCGTCTGCCGGGCTGCCGCCTCGTCTCAACCGTCTCCCGCGCTTCACCGAGAAGGAGGAGGTTGCCATGAGATGTCCCACAGGCCTACCTCACTGGTTGTGAGTGAACCGGCGGGAAAAAAGGGGATAACCGACGGCGGATAATGACATGATGGTTCCGGTGTAGCGCGAGCACAGGGGGGGGGGGTGTGGGGAGAGCTCCGGGCGTCTTTAATGAGCGGTGCTGGAGAGGAAATCAACGGACTTTATTGTGTGTGGAACCACGACTCTGAACACACCGCAGTAATTAAAAAGACAAACGGTGTCTCGTACCGGTTGCTGAGGTTTCCTTCAGTCTGAAAGGTAAGGCATGCTGGCCACTTAACGGCTCTGCGCATCAATTTATCTGCGTAATTGAATGGAAATGAGGCTAATCAGTGATGTAACAGCTGCTAAATTGAACTCCAGTCGCCTATTCAGTTAAAACATTAGCTATGGTTATCTCAGAAAGTACTAATTTACGTTTTTTATCTCGCTAAATGGTCTTGTATTGCTTTATAACTTACAATGTATCCTGGACAGTAGGGTACCCTTATCAATTAAAGGTAGGTTTAACTCCTATTTCAACCCTTTTTCTGAATACTGAATACACAGCAGGCTGTTTGTGTTCGGCTTCACTAACAGAAACAGCAGAGTGTGTAGTCATAAATGTCCAAATGATCTAATTTATCTTGCATGATAATGGCTTCTTTTGTTTCGGATTTGTTGCACTGTGATTTATGCTTTCAATGTTCTGTTGAATCAAATGCTTCAAACTCCAGGTGAACTAAACAGAAAACCGACCAAATTCCTCATCTAATAACCCGTGTCAGTATAGCCATACCTGCGGAACATGAAAGTGACACTTATCAGGAGTTATGAGATGTCAGTGGAGACAGATCGCCCCTTCAACCTCATTCTGGCTCATTTACCGGAGCTGCAGTGTGCTGCTGACCACATCACCGCTGGGGCCCCATCTTCTCACATCACACTTACTGATGTCATGTCTTATTTATTTATTTTTGTGTTAGCTCTCCCCGGAGGCTTCGCTGGACAGTCGAGGATGATGTCCCTCAGATGGTGACTTGTGCAGGTAAGCTGTGTGAAGGAGCTTATTTTGCTTTATCGCTCTCTCTTCTGGGGTCAAATGGAAGCCAACTCTAAACCTTTTGCCCACAAGGTTTATTCATGTGGTGCGTCTGATCACTGCTATGCACCTCAGGGATTTTTTTAATTGTGTTACTGAAAGTATTCACTTGTGTTTCAGTTCTTAAGTCTCTAGCTGGGATCTTGCCCCTTTTTTTTGGCGCAATCCTCACAGAATGTAACCCTGACTCAATCCACACATCTGCTTTTCTCATTTACTGAAAAGTAAATGATGCAAAATAAATAATCATGTGTAGATCCCCACCGAATAATTGGCCAGCTGAAAATATCGGGGGCGATAGTAGCATATCCAGTGACTATCGGCCTCCCTAATCCCATATCGATCGAGCCTAATCATGACTAAATTAAAATGCTTAGTAACCCTTTCAAATACAGAAGGACACCAGAGTGATTGTTGGTGTGTCAATCATATGAAAAGAACGGTTGACTGCATTCCGTTTCTGTCTTTCTGTGAAATGTAATCATGGACTTTTCCTGCTCCTCCCCCCCTTTTTCCCCCCAACTCTTTGCTGTCTTTGTTCCCTCCTGCTCGAGCTGTGGGTGTCTCTGTCCTAGATGTGAATGTGTTCCTCTCCTCACACGCTGAGATGAGTGCTTTCAGAGGCGGATGATACAGAAAAGTCCAGATTTTACTACCTGGCTAAATTGCCCTGTGATGGAAAAATATTGTTAAAGGAATGATACCTGAATAATTGAAGCCCCGGGGCTTTAAAATTGCAGGGACTCGCTGTGATTTCCAGCGCAAACTTCGAGGCCGCCTCAACGAAATATTCATTTCATCATTTAAGAATGGATATATCGGAAAGCTACTCGGCCGCTGCCCAGCACTCCCTCCACTCCTCTCTCCCACTCTGTGTGTGTACAGTCCTCGTCTGACCATCTACCTCAGCTTCTCTATCTATTCCCTTTGAAATACATTCTAATTCACCCCATGTTTGACTTAAAAGGTTGAAATTAAACACAGAATATCTGCTTTTTAAAGGGATAGAAAGGTTCTGCTACAAGAAGTAACTGGCTGATCGTCTGAAAATGAGTTGTTTAACTTAAAGGCAATTATAATGTTAGAGTGTAGTAATTCTTTCTGAATTATCTAGTTGTTCAAGGAAATGTAACTGTAGGTTGGAGAAAACAAAATATTACAAGACATCCACTGAAAAAATGAATAAATTCCGTGGCACACTGGAAATGACTTTACTGTCACTTTATTGTGAGTGAAGATGTTTCGCCTGTAGCTTCCTCAGGTTCATCCAACATGCTGCAACATGAGGAAGCTACAAGGGAAATGTGTTGTTAAAAGTTATTTTCAGTGTGCCACGGTTTATTTATTTGTTCATTGAATGTTCCTGCAGCAGACCAGCACCTGAGAACATAGAACGTTTTTTTTTGTTATTTCCATGCATTTTTTTTTTTTAAGCAGGAACAAATAATGTTGTGTCCACATTTAAGTGAATATGAGGTTTATTTGTAAGGCGATGTCGTCGTCTGGCTCAGCGAGACACTTCCTGCAGTCTCAGCTGATTGCACCTCACCTCAGATTGATGACAAGACTCCAGGAAGTCACCGCTCCGGGTCCCAAAAGGAGTGTAGCCCATCTAAAAACACTGCATCAATAAAAAATGTGCCGTCTTAACACTTAGCCTTAAGTGTGGCACCAAGAGCAACTTTTAAATGCTAATACTTACGCTAATAGAGGACAAAGCATATGTAGTGCTTTCCCTCTGTTCAAGCTCTTTATGCTAAGCTATGCCAATAAAGTGCTGAGTTCAGCGTCTGATTTAATGGCAAGTAAATCTCCCAACTCCCACCTACAAAGCAAATAAGCATATCTTTTAAAATGTCAAACTATTCCCTTAACCTATAGATTGAAGTTATGTTTTCTAATTACATTCTCTTTCCATGGTTCACTCAGGTGTCACATGGGGAAAAGAGATCTTAATTTAAAACACAAATCATCACCGCATCATCCCACTCGAAGCTTTCGAGGGATGCAGTCATTTTACCTCTCCAACTTTCAATTAGAGATTTGTTTGCCAGTGGTTGTGTAAGGGTAGTGTGTGAGTGTGACCAAGTTGTAAAACACACACACACACACACTCACTCACACTTGTGTGTTTCTGTGGGTTGGCATTCAGCTGACTGCTAGGATCGTTTCATTTCCCACAGAGAAAACAAATTAAAATATGACACCTCTCTCTGCTGCCTCTCATCTCCTGCTTTTCACCGTGTCAAGAGATGCCAAAACTGCTAAATATAGTTCTGCAAGTGGTGGGTGAAACCTCTCCACCTCTCTTAACATTTCCAACATGATGAACAGATGAAGGTCTAAAACCAAATGAGGTTTGTGGTAATTTGAACAAAGGTGTATATATGTGTGTGTGGGGTTTGTGTTTCAAATGAGGAGATATTTGTTATGTATGCTTTGTTAGGGTGATATGGTTTAAACCAACATATGACAGGAGGATTGGTGAATATCATCCAACAAAAAAATCACAAAAAGCACAATGTGAAGTGCAACAAAAGCTTCGTTTCCATCAAGCGGTTCAGTTTGGTACGGATAACCCTAACCTTGCTTGTGTTTCCACAGCCAGCGGTACCCTTACATGGTTAGCCGGGTGTATGCTGGATGACATCATAGCAGTGTGACACAGTGTAGCCCTCCAAAAAAAATACAACAAAGTTGAAGAACGCGACGCAGTCAACAAAGGGCAAAAATGGAGGAAGTCCAGCAATTTGTGTACGTCCTTCTTGGCATGTGTCTGTTTGTGACAAGAAGCAGTCAAGCTTTGGGATGTGATACTCGAGAGCTCGGATGGAACGGACAACCTATCAACAGACTGCGGTGTATCGAGCTTCATCTTTTGAAGGGTCGGATCGGTCCACTTGGCTCCCAAACCGAAGGCTACCAAAACAAAGTAGTATTGTACGGATTGTTTATTTTGGTACCATTCCCAAACTTTTGACTGTGGAAACGCCAATAAATGCGTGCGGTACTGTACTGAACTGAACTGAACTGCTTGGTGGAAACGGGGCTGAAGTGTTATTAAAACTCTTGTCAAGCAAAAACTGCAAACTGCTCTCTGTCTCTCTCACTCACTCTCTCTCTTTCTATCGCTCTCTCTCCTATGCTCATGTAAACGAAGAAAGAAACAAACCACTTAGCATTGCATTTGTGCTTCAGTCAAAATCCCTCTAAATCTCAAAGATGAACGTTTCTCTTGAACAGTGAAGAATCTGACCCTTCATCTCCTGACACTAAAGCTCTTTGTAACTCATATCTTCTAACCCTGCTCACCTGCTCACCTGGGAGTTGTAGTACACTTTGTAGTGTACTAAATTACTGAAATAAGGTTTGTTAATATGGTATAAGAATATGACCACTGTTATCTCAGCTGAGATCGTCTCATCCCTGTTGATCTCTGTCGCTTGTTGAAGTCAGGAAAATGACAGGACGTCTGGCAGATGCTCGAACTCCTTTCAGGCGTTTTATCGTGCACCAAAAGGTTTGTAAAATGTGGGGTTATGCTTGAATTTGTGTTTGCGTGTGTTTCCCAGTTGAGTCTGACAACTCTAAATCCACTGAGAGTCGTATATGAACTGTGTTGGTTAAGATACTGTGACAGCGTTAGAGTAGACTCTCCCAACCTCTGTCACTTTGTGTCTTTGTCTCTCCAGTCTGTTGGAAACTCTCGAATCTGAGGTTGTACCTCGATGCTCCCTTTCTAGCATAATTTTGTCATATCTTAGTCTGAATCTCTTATTTTTGGGTTCTAGATACATTTCTTTGCTTTGTCCATGTCCATGTACATCAGATGAGGCTTACATTTGTTCTTTCAATGCTATAGAAGCTGTGGAAGAGAAGCACCACTTAAGCTTGTGCAGCCATGAAATGCAAGGCTGCGGTTGAATAGGCGATAGGGGAGACATGGCTAAAAGAGTGAATGAGAGGCAAAAGGAGAAACGAGGAGACATAATGCAGTGAGCCAGAGAGGGAGCAGAATGAAGGGATGGAGAAATGGGGACTAAGAGAGACTTCACTTCGCTTTTAACTACATTATCGTGGCCCGTGGTGTATATAATTTAGTACCATGACGCAATGGAAGATACTGCACCCAGTGAGCTGTCTGCGAGGGAGCCTAACTTGCTCACTTCAACACACACACACACAGATTTTTCTCTATGATTCTTTCAGATATTCATCTGCTTTCAATTTAAACTTTTAAGTCTGTCTTATCACATTTTTTAGGGGTAATCCTGCTTGGCCTCGAATTATTGTTTCCATTCAGACAGATTAAAAAAAGAAGACCTCAGCTTGGCCCTGACTGAAGCAAGGTGGGGAACATGTGGCTCCACTGTCATACACAAAACCAAGTTTTTCAACCCTGTGAGATTCACGGGTTGTTGAAACACAGCAAATGCCAGAAATATTTCAAGCGATTCATTAGGCAATAAGGATTCAATTCACTGTGAATTGCAGCCTTTGGGAGGCTCAAAGCTTGTCGAAATATTACATTAATACACCAGTAATGAGAACGAAGCTTGATATTTTTCCATCAGTTTAATTGGGATCATTTAGTGATGTTTTTCCACCGAGAAGTATCTGGATGTTTGAGTTAATCAACTTGAACAGTAGTTAGACAAAGTCATCTGCTGTTGTAATTACTATAATGGCACAGTTTAAATTAACAGTTCTGCTGGAGCTCCTCCATTTAAATTAGTGTGAATTAAAGTCAAAATCATGCATTTAATACACTGATATAAAAGGTCACGTCTCTCTCCGTGAATTAATATTTAGACTGTGTGGTTGGTGTTTTAATGCACCTGCCACTGGAAGAAAATCACGACCGTATTCTGAATCTCTCGCACACAGTTTATTTATTGCTTTCTGTCACATGGACTTGTTTATAAGGTCTATTTGAGACTATGTGCTGCATTAGCTGTGTGCACTGGAGATAAAGATGAGTGGGGGACTCATGATTTTTCATTTGCACCAGTTTTTGCTCCTATGTGACTCCGTCAATCAGAGCTATTTGTTTAAGATTATTTCTCTGCACTGAAGAGCAAGTGCTGGAAGAACTGACAAATCCCAACACTTAACTGTAATTTGCAGCGAGTGTTTGTGCATATTGCTTTTTTTTTTTTTTTTTACTTTACCCAGCCACAGTATCTCTACAAAATATCTACAATACATATTTTATATGTATTGTAAATATCGTGAACATATCCTTACTGCTTATTTACTGTGAAAGTATAGATTCCAGTTGCTCATTGGTTTGCTTCTTCTTCTTGTAACTTTGAGTGGGGCTCTTGAATTGGTCACAGAGAACTAACAGTGGCAGGACATGCATACACAAATTACATTTAGTATTCTGAAACTGTACTGCAAATATGCATGCAACTTTCCGGCCATATGGCAAGTGTGGTCATCAGGTGCTGCTGCATTTAGTATGCTAATCCTTCCTCACACTTAGTGTCTGTTTGCCATCTACAGTGATGCTGTTGGAATTCAGCAGGTGATGCTTTGAATATTCCTGTCTCATTTTGTTCTATCTAATGTATGGCTATATGTTTGTTGTGTTCATATTGTACATATGAAACAATGGGCGCTATGTATCATTGTACGACAACTATGAGTTGATTCATTTGCACAACAATCCCACAGACAGAAAAGGCCGTTAGCTAGGGGTCAGCCGGTCATTGGTGATGTATTTGCTTTTCTGTGCTTCACCTTATTTATTTTTTTATAGTTTGAGGATATTAAAAAAAAACTGCCACATTCCTCACACCTGGACAATGAAACTGATTCAGACTCAGAGATTGAATACTTTGGATTCCAGATTAAATCAAATCAGCAGAAGTCATTCAGTAATTTTCTCTTGACCTGTAAACGTCATCTTCATCATTTCAAAGGCTGAAGAGCAATGGTAAAGTAAGTACTCAATTATGACATTATAGAAGTACATAGTCTTTGATGTAATTACAATAATCACCAAATTTAGTATAAAGTTGCATTAAAGAGACACAACTAGCTCATCATGGTAAAAGTAAAGTTGGATAAAGAAAGGAAAAATAAATACACATTCGACCTTTAGGAAACTAAGAGGACGAATCTCAAGGACACTGAAATGGATTGGGGAAAACAGAGTGTCTTCAGTCTGCTCTGAAAGGAGCAATTTGTAACTCTGACACCTAGAGTTTAAAATGGGTACTACTGTCCGAATTTAAAGGATTGGAGAGCGCTGTCTCCCCAAGCCCCCTCCTCCTAGAGCCGATACTTACGCGGGATGCCATATCGCAAGCACTGAAGCTTCAGTGTTTAGCCAGCTCTGCATCGTTCTTGAAACCTGTGTGTGCTCTAACCTCTCTCCATCTCCGATATTTATCAGAGTTTTACCACGTTTCTGCTCGTGGAGCATATTAAAAAAAATGCAGAGGCTTATTAGGTCGGGTAGAATCAGTTATATCTGAACCAGTTCACCTGCCCACTTCCATCACTGCAACACCTGTTGTTTTGCAGTTTGCCTGGCAAACAGAGGGGCGTCCAAAACGGCCATTTGGGGCTGCCTGAAAACTAGGGATGTTCATGATGAATCGTTAATCGATTAATCGCCGTTAAGAATTTAACCAATTAAAAATGTATGTAACCGACAATCTGTTTACAATTTTACCGGCGGTCCCATGTAATACCATTTTATACCAATAGAGGGCGTCCTAACTTTTGCAACTCTTAAAAGCTCCTGTTAAAGGAAGAAGCGGCTCTGAGGAAAGTGAAGCTAAAATCAAGTGGTCAGCAGAGACAGTTTTCTGCAGCTAGACTTATTGTGAACTCAGTGCTGATCACTTAGATGTGCTCTTTCTAAAAAAAAAAAAGAAAAAAGAAGACTAGGCTGTACATATATTATGGTGAGCAGAGTATTATATGCGCTCATAACTCACTCCTGAGTGTGTGGATATGTTCATTTGCCTACAAAACAGAAGAATTGAATGTATTGTTAAGGGGCTCAAATGGTTATGTCACCTGTAAACAGCACTGTGTGTTGATTTAAAAAAAAAAAGAGTTTCATTTGGTCAGCCTTGTTAGTCTAGAAACGGTTTGGCATAGATTTGTTAACAGTGGAGTTAAATAAAGACAGTCATACATTTAAGTGCTGTTTTCAAGCGAGAGCCTTGTTATATTAGTTCAAACAGTTTGTATTTAATCTAATAATGTTAAAAGCAAATAAAAGGCCAGGCCATGTTAAGCTTTAAAAAAAAATGAAAAAAACTTAAACTCAATCTTGTTCCTGAACAGGAGCCACTACAGGAGAGATGCTTTCTCTTTTACTGGTTCCAGTTAACAGTCTAGCAGCAGCGTTTTGTACCATCTGCAAGACAGGGACGACTGACTGATGCCCAGATAGAGGGCATTACAATAGTCCAGCCTGGAGACAATCAAGGCACTGGAAACATTTTTCAAATCCTTTAGAGGCTTTAGTTCCTCACCACCAATTACCTGCTGCCCTGTGTTTCTCTCATTGTCCAATGACAGCAAAGCCTTTCTTTTTTTTTCTTTCTGCAGGAGCTTCAGAGAGAGGAGGTTTTGAGAGTAAAACTCATCAGGGCTGTCTGGGTTTCCTACCTTCTCTCACTCCTCTGTCTCTGCATCTCCAGCTGTCTTCTAATGTAAGTGTCCATCTTCATTATTGGAGCTCAGGTGTCGCTGTATTATTCAGTGAACCCATCGACTGTTAATGTCTGACGACGATATTTACGCCTGTGGGGACAATGGCAAACGTCTTAGTGATGAAGATTAAGGCAGCGGTTTATGTCGTAATGATGTCATGCAGAGATTTCCTTTTCCATGTGCTGCCTTGTTTACAGTCCAATTGCCAACTTGAGATGTTCATGTCAGAAGTGACAATGTTCCCCTCTAGATTTATCTGCGCTGTAATCGCTGTTTTATTGGTTCAGTGCATCCCCGAGAGTTACAAACAGAAACCATGAGGATTCTTTACCAGTCATGCCCCACATGTACAGATTCTACATTTAAATGTAAAAGACAAAAGTGCATGTAGTTCACCACAAACATACAGGGGCTTGCCAAATGAGACAATCTTACATTGTTGGAAAGAGGCTTATCTAATGTCTTCCTTAAACAGAAGATTGAAGCTCTTTTCATGTCTGTGTGATAAGTACAGAGTCATAGCCAGGAGGGTATTAGCCTCATTTACAAACTGAGCATTCTTATACTGATTAAACAAACAAGATAATTGGAAATGAGAGTGCTTCCGAGGTATATTTTTTCAACTGGGCTAGCCTTTTTCCCTCTCACCAGTCTTTATGCTAAGCAAGGCGTTATATCCTATCTTCCTATTCCAATTATTCCAACTCAACTGTACCAGCTCCGCCCTCAGAGTTACTTCTACTGGGATCTGTCTTTAGTAAATGTAACTTCATCATATTTAAGGAGCAACAATTCTCCTCTGATGTCGTGCTTAGGGGAAGCTCAAATGTTGCTAATATATCGTTCAGCTGTTTTAGAGGTTGCAAGTAATATAAACATACAAAAATGAGGGAAAATGCCTGTGATTTTAATGCCACTAAATTGATCAACAACTAAAAAGAAAATTCTTACAGTATTTTAAGCTGCTATCAAGAGCATCAAACCAAATACTAGCTATCTTTACAGCTGCCTTCAAGTGAGCATCGTGTAATAATATTAGGTGGTAAAGTTTGCTAGCTAGTAGGGCTTTGCAAAAAATATCACTTAGCAAAGTATTGCATTATTTGTTTTCATGGTGGTGTATACATTTTCCTGCTCCTCACATCGATCCCTAAATGGATTAAAATGTCCTTTTATGGGGCGCGCAACAAAACCGCTAGTACAGTGGCAGTTTGCTGCTTATCACCCCCCAACCCCCACCTCTTTCCTCCCAACACTTCCTGTCTCTCTTCAAGGCAAAAATTACGACGGAGGATTAGGGCCACGTTAAAAAAAAAATAATAATTAAATTTCGAGATTGAAGTCGTAAATGTACGAGTTTAATCTGGTAAATTAACGAGTTCGAGACCAGCCTGTGCGAAAATGATGAAAGTAGAACTCTTAAAGTCTTTTAAAGAATAAAAGAATGAAGTTGTGATTTTAGTCTATATCAAAAGAGCAGCAGCATCCTGTTCTCAAATGACAAACATGGAGCATCTTGTCCTAAAGGTTTCACTTTCACTTGTGTAGTCGGTAAAAGCAGTTAGTTCAAGAGAAGTTTTCACTTCAACTTGCAAGACCTTGTTTATCTGTAAAATGATGAACAGGACACAAACTGTCTCTGCACATGAGACACTTTAACAAGGCAGACCGATAACAGACACAAATAGTTGTGTTGGGGCTTCACTTGTGCAGATAGGAAACTACACATGCTTTTGGCACATCATCATCTTCACGTTGTCATAAAAATTCAGCACCCTGAAAAGATACTGCAAGAAACTGTGGCTTTTCCGAAGAAAGAACCACACTGACTTGGAGGAAGTTGTCTGCAGAGGAAAATACTTTAAGACTTCTACTTTCATCATTTTGCGCAGGCTGGTCTCGAACTCGTTAATTTACGAGATTATTCTCATAAATTAACGACTTTAATCTCGAAATATATATTTTTTTTTTTTAAATTAACGTGGCCCTAATCCTCCGTCGTAAAAAAACAAAACTTTAAAATGTTCTTTTATTTCCCCCTTTAAATATCTGTACTCACAATGACCTCTGTGCCTGTAGATGTCGCTGTTCAGCTACCTTAGCTGGCTCCTTAAGCCTAAAGCTGGTCGAGTGACGAAGGCAGTTTTCACACCTGCACTCCGGAAAATTTCTATAAAATTTCAGGCAGACTCGTCATGAGTTGGTCCTTTACAGCAGGAGACTATTTGCTGTCAGACGGGAGTTTGGGGGGGCGAGGGGGGTTCAGGAGGCATGACGTAAAAAGAATGACTCAAAAGTGGGCAACAGAGTCTGACGTGTGATCGCAGTTTTCTTTCTGTCATATCAATGCTACATCTAGTTCAACAAAAGAGAGAGTCCAATCATCCTGTTCGCTTACGATACATTTTCTGGGTCCTTGCACATCGGTCCAGCCCTATTAGCTTGCAGTTGAATGCTAGCATTAGCTGTTGTGTTACAGCAGTTTATCAAAACTAGGATGTTAAACTTTGAAAAGTGACTCAATATCCCTTTACAAATGTTTCTGATCTGTCATTACGTGGTGAATTAAAAACATTCTTCCTGCTCTAACTCACATGGAGAACATCATTATCACAACACATTGGAAAATTACTGTTTATGGTTCAACATTTAACAGTGAAAGTACAACAAAAAACTTGTAATACCAATTTATATTGTAGTTTCTTTGTCATCTATCTGTTACTCTGAGTCATGAAGAGACCCTAACTGTCTGATAAAAGCTGTATACCAAACAAGTTACAACATATTTCATCAGTTGAAGTTTCATCATAGTGTTACATAAATATACTAATTCAGCCTACACTGATTATCTTTGCAGGCATTATAGAAAACTGTTGGACGAAGGAATGCTGATTATTATGTGCAGCAGATTTGAGTTTAATCTCCAGCAATAAAAAAAAAAAAAAAACATCAAGAAGGCAAATGAGCTCTTTCTGATTGACTCTCCCTCTTTGTGCCTGTCTTTAAACGTCTTCTGTCTCCCTCTTCTTGCTGTCCTCTCTGAAGGGTTTGATGGAGAGCTGGTCGAATGTCAGCCGGAACTGTTGTTATATCCGGAGGAATTCTCGCCGGAGTGATACTGCTGTGCATTGTGGCAGTGCTCTGTTACTGTAGACTCCAGGTATCACTGTGTGTTTGAATAAATGTTTATTTTTTTTTAACAACACCACAAGTATGAAATTCCCAACAACCCTTTCTCAATCTCTCTCTCTCTCTCCTGCTCATTTCTTTGTCGTCCCTCGGCAGTATTATTGCTGTAAGAAGAATGATTCTGAGGTGGACGCGGGCCCTGCGGTCGGACCGGACCCTCTTTCTCATTTTCCCTGCAATGCCTGTGACATCCTAGCCATGGATGGCGCTGCTATCACCCCCGTCTCTCTGGATCAGCTGGACTCGGGTTCTCACCACAACTACTGCCCCACATGTTCCCCGTACTCGGTCCGCTCTGGACGTACAAATGACATGCGCAACGGAGGGGAGCGGCTCGGCTTCCACACCTACTACGAGAACCCAGCTGTCTCTCTTCCCCTATCCACCAACCCGCAGGGATCCCCCCATTTGAGCTATATCGGCCACAAGGACATGTTTCCTCCACCGCCACGACCCTACAGCACCCAGGTCTGACCTTTGCGCCAACATAAAGACACACACGCTCTGACTTGCACACATTTAAACATTTAGCCCATGTCCTATTGTTTGGGACCCCAATCAGGTGATGGATTACAATACAGAACAATTACACAGTTGCCTACATTGATGTAAATCCTCATACCTGTCACAACATCCAGGCTCATTTATCCACAGGAGTGACCTATAAACTGAGCCCACTGAAAGCGCACTCTGTGTGGGCAGTAAATCCTTGGACTAAGCCCATGTGGATCTGCAGAGAGCAGCATAGACAGTGATTTATTCACAGCCATTTTCTGCAAAACCTTAGTTTGTCTGACACTGAGCTGGATCAAATGTGGTACAAATTTGTCGTGTGGTAATTAAGTTGTGAATGTAACATTGAAGCAACATTAAGAGTTAGTTTGAACTCGATACTGTACATGTAGTCGGGTAAAAAAAACGTCCCTCCAGTGCTTTGGAAGTATCGTCACAGTTGGTGCTAGGGATGCAGTTTTTGAACACGTCCAACAATCTGTGTTAATGATCACATTCAAATGACTCATTAAAACATCAGAAAATAATTAAGACGCTTATTTTTTACCATTTAAGATTATTATTGATGTGAGAAATAAACACTGTTTATGTGCCACGACACAACACAGATGAATAAATATGATATTCATGAGAAAAACATGAATTTAAGTTATGAATTAAAAAATACATAAATAAAACAGCCTAAATCATCCTTTGAGGATTGTCTTCAGTAATTAAAAATGTAATTCAGTTCTTATCAGAACTAATGTTCTTCTAGAAAAAACCCAAATTTAAACTTTATTAATCTTTCATTTTCAGTAAACAGGCTGTTTGACTGTTTGACTGCCTGTTCACATTTGTTCTGCGTGTACTGCTAATCTGCTAAATGTCTCAATAATCGAGAAGTTATTCCTGCTTAAATGATTCTAAATGATCGGATAAATAAATTCATATGCCTTTTATAAGCTCATCTCCATACCCTGGCTGCATGACACCGATAATTATTTTCTCTCTAACGTCAAATACAACTGAGAAGTCTTTGACCTGAGAGTCCGCAATCAACCATCATCTCCATTTTAGTTTCTGTTTCTGTGCATTGCCCCCCCCCCCCCCCCAAACAGACACACACACACACACACACACACACACACACACACACACACACACACACACACCTTCTCTCATTAAATCCAAGTTTCAAGTGCTCGCCCCCTCCCCCTCCCCACAGTTTACTGTTCATGAGGGCTAACAGTTTTTCGATTAGGTGTTGTTGTTACAGAAACTAGTGATGGAGCTTAATTGTGTTTTTGGAGGCTTTTCTGGGTGAAGGCATGAAGGAGAAATTACAGCAGTATTTGAGCAACTCGCAATTTTGAAATGGGCCGAGTTTCGTACCATAACTGTCGCTTTCATTTTCACAAGGGCTGGGAATCTTTGGGTGTCTTGACGTTTCGATTCAATTTCGATTCATGGGGTCACGATTTGATTCAGAATCTATTTTCGATTCAAAACGATTCTGGATTCATGATTCAAAGTCTATTTTTGAATTAGTACATACTTCAGGATCTACTCTAGTCATCTGTGAGACTGGCTGAATGTCTTGCTGCTCCATTTGGTATTCTACTGAGTTAAAGAGCTAGCCTTAGCACTTAGCAGGGAGTGACTGATTAGCCAAAAATTAAATATAAATCGATTTCTGGAAGTTATGAATTAACATTTTGAAAGATAAGAATCTTCGATTTTTTTTCCCCACCTCTGATTTTCACTCCTGGTGAAAATGAAACTAAACCGGCTCTGTATTGTCTTCCATATAAGTTGAAGATGGATGAAAAGGACAGACAACGTTCTTTAGCTGTGTCGTCATCAGACATGCTATACTTACCATCACACCATACTGTGTTGATCTCGATGCTTGAGTTTTAGAACGTCTAAGCCATTATATCTGCGATATTTAGTACGGTAACAAGATGCAGTGTTTATCCACAATATATGCTTGAATGAATCTATATATTTTCAGGAGTAATCGTAGTTTTTTGTGAGGGCTGTTAGAGTTTCAATTTTACAGAGTTTATGCTGAGTGTGAGTTTTCCAGACTCTTCACTTCTCCTTTCATCGTAATTATTGGTCTGCTTCTCTGAAAGTTATAGAAACAGAACCAGAGGAACGTGATGAGAAGTGAATGGAAACGTGCATTTGGAATTGAAGATTTACTATTTAATATAACAGATTTTAAACCAGTAAAAATACATATATGAGACACCTCTTAAAGTATAATAGAGTATAATGTTACATCACATTGTTGCCACTGAGCCGTGAGCCTTTGTTTCCTCACCTCACAGAGACATGTATTGAAAACTAAACCTGAACATTACCTTATTTTGTTTAATTAGATGTCCACTCAGCGTTGGTGTTAAATATCCTCACTTAACAAATGTGGTCCACATGGTGAAAGTTTTTTTTAATTTTTATTTTGGGTCTTTGTGTTCATCGGATCTGTGCTGACCAGTTTGAGCACGACGTGTCATTTTCTGCTTCTGATTGTTGAAATCGGAATGTTTTCAGATTGTAAGAAACTCATAAAGTTTTGGTACCCTGATACAGAACAGTGGTGGGGCAAAAATCATCTAAGTTTTACATGAATGTTCCTTTTTTTTTAAGGAGGAATAAATGTTTCTATCTGCCTGGACTTTTTTTTTTTTTTTGGTCTTGACTCCGGTTTTAATGACTCAAATCAGTAGAGACACAAAATGTTGTAATCACAGTCATCTGCTTTCAACACACACTCTCAAAATATATGGAGAAGTGCACAGACCGATAGAATGCGAAAGTAAAACCAAAGACAGAAGTTTCAAGAAAGAAAAAGCTACATATTGGAACTCAAAGAAAGGGAAATGAAACATCCATCCTGTCATCGGTTTTTTGTTTCCCCTGGTGACAAAGAGAAATTTTCTGTCTTGCGTATCACAAACATATTTGTCCAGCAAATATGCCCAATAGTCCACACATGATGACATCATTAAAAACAGCTACTTATTTTAATTTAACAAAAACTTTAGTTTTATACTTTAAAAGTTAGAAAGTTAAAAAAAAACTATTTATTCTTTCTTAAGATTAACATTTTAATATTGCTGAGTGCACCACACACAGAGCAGTGACATACCTACCTATGATGCAAAAACATGAATTTAGAAAAAAAAACATGTGAGGTGAAAATAAGGCTGAGAATGTTGTGGGAACATTCTGTGTCATTCACGGGCGGAGTTGTTGATTCCCTTATTGTTTTTATTCATGCTTTGCTATTTTACTGCCTTGCCTGCTTGACCTGTTTGCTCTCCTGTCAGGCAACAATAGACTGACAGGCCTGTGTCATGCAAACACCCTGAGGAGACATATCACAAATAGCACTTTAGTAACCCCCGCATCGGTGTCAGCAAGAATACAGATTAAGGAAGGACATTGAAAGCAACATAAGCAACACAAATAAGGAGGAACACTCAAATAAATCACAGTCATTAGGACGCCTTGGTTTTTATTTGAGAGGCGTGGATCATAAACGAAGTGTTTGTCAGATTGTGTGTGCGAGAGAGAGAGAAGAAAGGTGAGCACTGTAGTGGGTGTGTCTTGTGCTGCAGTTTTTTCACACACACACACACACACACACACAAACACACACACGCTCAGGTCTCATTAAAACCCAGTTCAACCTGTTACTGCCCCTTCACCTGTAACACACACTCCTTCACCTGACACTGTGTAAGACGCTCTGACTATCAGGTGTTAGTGTGTTGAAGAGTAGCTACCTGTTGGGAGTATCTTCCTGTTTTTTTTTCACCTTTGGACCACAAGCAGAGTTTCCTTCTGCTGGCACCGCCTGGACTTTGTTCAGACATATCGTGTTTGTTTTGTGCTGGATTGATTGGCGTCTCGCCCGCATCACCGCAAGTGAAAGCAAGACGACAACGTCTACACAGACTCATGTACCATCTCTGATTCTCTTCAGATACACTATTGTCACTCTGAGTGGCAGCGTGTCAAACACTCCTAGTTGATTTTTTTTTTTTCTCTCTGAAGTCAGGTTTGAAGCGTCACCTGCAGAAGGCGCTTGTTTTTTTTTGGTGTGCGTGTGTCAGCAGCTTTTTGGGCTGCATTTTTTTTTTTTTTTTTTTTTTTGGGGCAAGATGATGGAGGAGGTGTCCGTCATGATGGCGTATGATGCCCAAGTTATGGAGCAGATGAGCGAAGACGAGATCCTGGCCTGCCTGGTGGAGGAAACAGGCCCTAAATTCACGGTAAGACTCAATTCCTTCAATGTCCTTGATGTCCATTACACTTACTGTAGTGTTTTTAGAGAGCACCACAACTAATGTGAACAGCTACAACACAGTGAAAACAAGCATTTAATAAGATCAAGGAAGAGATGTTTCTATACATTTGATTTCCCCTTGTGGATATGGACTCAATTGGTATTTTCAGATCCAGAGAACCTATCCTATACTAGTTAGAAAAGGGAGGAGGAAATCCAGTGCCAACTGTTTGATAGCTTTGCCAACCACAAGATCTCCCCTATTTCACCATACTGTCAGGGTTATTGTAAATGATGTCATGATACTTGGCCTGAAACAGTTGATCTTTTGAGGAACTATGGAATGATGGCATCAGTTGCAATGACCAGCTTACTCATCGCTGTATTTAAGAAGCCGATGCTGAAGCTGGTATCGAGATCAGAAAACCATTACATGATTCTAGAAGATGTAAGGTCTGCATGTAAGGTCTGCATTTTCTGAAACATCAATTTGAGGTTTTCTAGGATTAGCTTAAAAAGCCTTGAAATGCCACTAAGAGAGTGAGACTGATCCATAAACAAAAACAAATATTGTTTGCAGGGTTTGACAAACGCTGACTGACAACTTCAAGCGTATAACAGACTGCACACAATGCTCTGTGTGACGAATACATGATGTCAGATAGAAGGAAATGAATTCAGATTGCTCATTTAACATAGCTGAGATATGGGAATTGGCATTTCAGGCTTTAAAAGAACCCTCCCCCCCCTCTATTATTCCCTCGTGTGGATCAAATGATAAACCCCACCATGTACTCAGCTCTGTCTTATCTCATCCTTACTTCCTATCTTGTCTCTTCTTTTTCTTTTTTGGGCCTGTTCTTGATTTGTCGCACTCATGCAGCATCCGGCATCAGATCTGTTCGGAGGAGATTGCTTTCTTCGGCTTAATCATATGTGGCATTGCTCTGTTTTGTAAACCCTTGTGCTTCCCTTCAGGACCCAACAAAGAAAGCGAAACTAGGGGAGAGTTTGCTGCAAATCATGGAGGATGAAGAGGAGCCCTTGGACAAATACCTGGTCAGAAATGATTCACTTCCGTCAATCCAAGTGGATAAATATAAATTCCATGCGAAACAGCCGGATTTGTCTTCCTTCTAAATGACTGATTCCTTTAAGTTTGTATTTAGCTGTGAGCAATAAACCCCCGTTTGACTCCTTCATGTTTACAGAGGGAGAACCGCCAGCTTCTGCAGGCCAGCCTCCGTCTGGAGCAGGAGAACGACAACCTCGCCCATAGACTCATCAGCGAAAAGGTGGCCCTGAGGAACGCTCTGGACCAGGTACGACGAGCCACTGCCCTTCTCGAAAAGGGGGGTAAAAAAAAGTAAAAAGTACAGTCACCTGCCTAGGGTTTTTCACTCAGAGAATCTGAGGAGAGCCTCTCAGGAGACGGCCAAAAAACTCTAACTGTAATTAAATTTTTACATTTCCAGCATTAATAGCAACTCAATCTGCAGTTCTGCATGAGCCTTGAATATCAACTAGCCTTGAGTTGCATTTTTAAAATTCAGCTCAAATAACCCGGTTAGCAATGCGCTGAGCAATGCTGTCACTTCCAATTATAACATAGCCCCTTCAAGATAGGATAGGCAGTTTGTTTAGGAAGCATGTTGAACTCTCTCAACATCCCAACAGCAAATCAAGAAATCAAATAATTAAAAACATAATTATCTATATCTGTCCCACTTTCAATTAACTACACATTTTTGAAATGAAATGCCCTGCAACACGTGACTGCAGAGCCAACAGAAGCAGGACTTCTAGCTCAGTCGGTAGGGATATGGGTTGGGAACCGGAGGGTTGCCAGTTTGAGTTTGACTTCCTTAGCACTGCCAAGGTGCCCTTGAGCAAGGCACCGAACCCCCACCAGCTCAGGAGTGCTCGCTGTGGGAAGCACGCTCAACAAAAGAATGTCAAATTGAATTTCCACTCGCGGGATTAATAATTCTTCTTCTTCTGAAAAGAAAATGTTTTGAATTCATCACAAATGAAATCCTCATTTCAGGCAGAGGACAGAGTGGATGAACTCACCAAAGACCTCGTTCAGACCAGACAGCGACTTCAGGTTACAGAAGAGGAGAAGAGAGGGAAGGAGGAGGAAACCGCAATGGTAAGTTCGACACGACTGATGCTTTATAACACCTCACTGTGACTTCATGTCAAGCAGAGATTTGAAGGGTTTCCCTCTTCTCAGTTGAAGGAGGTGTTTCGGCGAGAGCTGGAGAAAGCTGAGCAGGATGTCAGGAGGTCGTCTGGCATCACTGCAGACTACAAACAGGTAATAAGGAAATGATTCATGCTTTATAAAGGATATATTAAGCACAGAATTCAGTGGACATGAATGATGTTGACGCACTCTCTTTTCCTCAGATCTGCTCTCAGCTAACAAAGCGTCTGGAGAGGCAGCAGGCCACCCACAGAGAGGAGTTAGAGTCACTCAAGGTAAGTGAAGCTGTCTTCTGTGGAGCTCTACATTCAGCCTCCCTGCTTTTATCTCTGACGTGCTTAGACTTGAGCCCTATGTTCTTGTGTTGTAAAGACCATCCAAATCCAGAAAAAGTCAGGACCAAGGATAGAGTGTATCGAGATTGAGATAAAAACCAAGGCTTTGTGGTGCGAAGCATAAGATAAGACCAAAGAGGGAGACCGATTCAATTCCATGACCAAGGCACAGGAAGAACCAAGACCGAGACGTGGCATGATCAGGTCCAAAACAAATAACCAAACCAAACCAAACCAAATATGACATGAAAAAGTCAAGACCATGAACAAGAATGGCAAGACAGATTGAACAAGAAGAGATCAGCCCGAGTCCTACTCTTGATCACAAACTTACAATAGAATCTGAAACATGCTAACTCAGAGAACATCTTAAATTTGACCTGAGTTAAACATTACATTAAAAGCACAGATTACTCAAGATGTCTCCCCTTGGAAATTTATGAACAATCCATCACTTGTGGTGCTCAGATGTCTTCATCTAGAATGCAGTGTGATCAATCATGGGACATAAAGAGATCTTCATAAGTGGTCTCGGGGCAAATTACAATACAGAGGACTACAACACTTCCGTATCGTAAAACTCTTTATCAACTGTTCTTTTCCCCCCTTTTTATAGGCTTATGTGTTAACAGCTCAGTTGTTCAGCGTCCTAGAGTTCATGTGTCACAGCAGTTGTCGGTGATTTCAATTGCTCAGTTTATTTGGGGAAGAAAGGTCTTCATTTGTGTCTTTTGCTCCGCTTGTTACAGAGTGCAATAAAAGCGTGCACGCACTGTAAACGCCTCACAGACGAATCAGAGGAGCCATCTGCAAACGCTTCGAACTCCACAGCGACAGACGGCCACCAAGTGACAGAATGGGACCAGTACGAGGACAGTGGTGGTTCAAAAAGGGCAGAGCAGAGAAGAGATGAGCAGGAAAAGAAGTCCCTTAATGCCCAGATCAGGGAGCTGGAAAAGGAGTTAGCCCAGACCAAACTCCAGATGGTGGAGGCCAAGTGCAAGATTCAGGTAAAGCAGACCCGCTCCACTGTCACATGACAAAACGAATATTGGGACATACAGTACACAAGCACATTTTAGAGGAATGACGTCCAAGCTATACAGAGAGCAAATGTTTCTTTAACTTTCCTGGGGAAGCATTCATTGCCTGATAATAATTTCAACTATCTGCCCAAATTTATTACAATATAAAGACATCAGCTGCAGAGGAATATTCATTGAGGTTAGCAACAAAGCAAAACTTTGGCTCTGAGACCCCGTCGATGTGAAGCATCCTCATTAAATGTGGGCCCATGTGAGATTGGGAAATAGGACAGGATTCCCGAGAGTCAAGACGTGGGTGGTGAAAGAACGGCATCCAAGGACTGACTGGTTTGAAGCTGGCTTAATACTTTTGTGGCTAAATTTAAATATTGGGGAAGTATGTTAAAACGGTGCTTTCACTGCTTTGAAATGTCTGATATTTCGTAAGTAGTATTTCTCAAAGTGAGTATCAAAATAAATGTCACTGCTTCAACTGCACACCATTAGTTTCTATCATGACACACTAAAGAAAAACAAACAAAAGTTTATTAGGACTTCGTTTAAAGGTATTCTTCAGTCAGTCTAAATGATGACACTATTGAAAGATTCTCAAAACGTACATCCAAGATTGATCATTTGTTCACACTTGAAACATATATCTTTTTTTATTTGAAACCAAACAGGATTTTGAGACTGATATCGAAACTAATTCAAGGAGAGAAATTGACAAATTACCGGTAGTATGATCAACATTTGTGGGGCGGCAGTAACTCAGTCTGTAGGGAACCAGACACCAAAATGTGGAAGTTTGGTCTGGTAGCTGGAGAGGTGTCAGATCACTTCCTGAGTACTGCACAGGTGCCCTTGAGCATGGCACCAAACCCCCAACAGCTCTGGTGTGCCCCCTGTTTAGAAGTGTGTGGCAGCTACACTCTGACATCTCCCTCGGGGATTCAAAAAGTATGTAAAAAAAAAAATGAGATGGTGGGAAAATAGACCTTCTCTTTAGGGGGATTGTACACCCACATTATACTAATATCAATATCCAAATGTTATAAGAAGGCTGTTTTCTTCAAACAATTTAAAAAAAGGAATGTTTATTATCATGATTTGTTAAACAATTCTTGAGCCTGCAACCACAAACTCCGCTGTGATTCTTTGGCACATGTGCTTAAGCGTAACAGATGAATGTAAAGTCTGCATGAAACCATTTCCGAATCAAGCCAAAAGTTGTTTTACCACATTTTCTATATCTGCGCATGTTGGAAAAACATTTACACAGATACCACTAATATCAGACCCGATAACAAAAGACACATCTGTCAGGCTCTGCCCTACAACACAAATCCCTGAAGTACGTAGTATCTAAAATAAATATTCTTGTAGTTTATATTACCTGTGTTGTAAATTAGCCTATTCCACAGCATGGTCCCAAAAATATTAGTGGAAATGGATATGCTGCTTTGTTAAAAATTAAAGTTCTATTTCCTTTTGTCTCCTCATACAGGACCTGGAGCACCAGAGAGGAATCCTGGCCAACGACCTCCAGGAAGCGAAGAACAACTGGATCAGCAAGGCCTTCACCTCCCTGCGGACGTCAAGTGGAGGAGGACTTTCCACTATGAGCATACAACAACAACAACAACAACAACAACAAAGAGATGGAGCCACCACGGCAGGCTGGAACCTCAACAGTAGCTCCCTCTCTGGATGGAGCGCCAAGAAGCTGTCGTGGCCTCACAGAGACACTCAAGAGAAGGTCTGATGGGTCCGACTGAGACAGTGCAGATCCCATGTAACTGGACACAATAGACGGTTATGGATTGTGAATGTAATATATTGCAGCTGCTATTTTTTAGTTGTTTTTTTTGCACACTAGAGGGCAATCTAGAGCATTCAAAAGAGGAGAGGAGAGGAGAGTACCTGAGAGCACAGACAGGTGCAGGCAGACATGTCCTCTCATGTCCGCTCACCACTTTGCAGCTGGTTAAGTTTTTTAATGCTTGTAACCGACTGTATGTGCCATGAAGGTTATTTGTACATGAAAATGTATTAAAGAAACTATTACATCAGCATTGTGTTTTTTTTTTTTGTGACATACTGAAACTTGACTCATTAGAGACATAACCGCCGGAGAGGTTCTTTTTTTTCTGCGATATGGTCCTTTGGTTGTTCCTCTTTCACTACAACCACCACAGCTGCTTTTAAAGAGCAGATCAGCTGCTTCTTCAACACTCGTGAAGAAAGACAGACAGAGAGAGGAGTCGTCAGCTGAGTGTAACAAGGCTCGCTATCTCTGAACTTTGACATGCAATAAGGAGCGCACGGCTACGGAGAAAAAACAGAACAAAAGAATAGAAGACATCTTGCACGAGTGCCTGCAGTATTTAAAAAGACAAACTTAACTGAAGTATCAGTTTCTCCTGCTTGAATCACTGATTTCTGCAATGGTCAGGGGTGTGTGCGCCACTGTGACTCTCCTCTTGTGTGTTCTCGGAGGCCAAGCAGTGGACCTGCTCAGAGTGACTACAACATCAGGGAGTAAGTACCAATCTGAGTGAAAATATGTTTACAGTTTATTTATCTTTTTATACTGAAATTGTACCAAAAACTGAAAAAACAACTATTCTTTAAAATAAATTATTGTTAATTCTACTTTTTCATAAAAGCTTTGCACTCGATTTTGAGTTTGACTAATGATGATTTGATTGAAGTGTCAGCCAGAGATGGTCTCTGCGTTTTCCAATTTTTTTATATTTTACCTAAGCATACTAGGTATGGTCAGGCATACTGGGCATGCTGCCTGAGATGTAGTGTAATTTATCGGCAATCTATAAACCAGTTGGCGACACAGTTGTACATTTAATGTGAGAAGAAAACAACAACAAAAAAAGGAAAATAAAGTACACATATATGTGTTCAATACGCTTTGCTCATGTTGCACAGGATGTAACAAAGTGTCATTTCTCCCTTCAGACCCTCCCTCCATTCCCCAAGTGCACTGCTGGTGTGCCAGTTATCCAAATGTCACTCTCTGTTCCTGGCCTGAACCCTCTCAATCCCCACCGATACGCTACGTCGCCACCTACAGGTAAAATTTAGGGCGGAAACCAGTGTCCCTCTCTTACTGTGACTGCAGTATTGCTGATTTCTTTTATTTAAAGAAGAAAGTGTCATTGTGAGCTCATTCATGAATAAGTGTGTGTGTAAATGTGTTCACCAGTGAGAGACACAGACGCACATCGACCAATCAGTGCCATCTCATCCAACCTGGCTCTTCATTCTCTGCTCTGACATCGGCTTCATCGTCTCAACCGGTGAGATTTATATCCCTTTGTCACAGACGGATGGACTGTTCTCCAAAACTCACACAAAGCAAAAACCAAACAAACCTCAGTAATGACTGTAGTGGAATGTATTTTGATAATTTGTCTTTTACTGTATAAATGAAACTTATTGAACTTAATCAGGATCAGAGAGTTATTTTTTGGAAAACCCCAATCTCACATGCCGTGTCTTCACTGTAACAGATGACTTAACAGTTTCATGTTTGTCTCATGAGTCTGAGGCTCATGATTATCGGAAAAAGAAACACAATTGTGTCTGGGTTCAAGCATTCATATTTGCATTAACTACAGGGATTCCTCTTAAGCTTATTTCGCTTTTATTGGAAATCATTACTATTATAGGTTCTTTTTTTGTCAGGTCAAATTAAACTGCGATGAATATTGCTTAAACGGCATTTTAAAATCTACCATCGACAAACACCATCAAGCATCCCATATTATTCTGTATTTTTTGTTTCTAGTTCTGGCACTGCTACCTACCAAACCTGAAGCTTCTCACTGACTACATCATCAATGTCACAGCGGTTTATTCAGACGCCAGCAGCTCCCATCTGGCAAGTTTCATGTTGGAGGATATAGGTGAGAGATTATAAATCACACAGTCTAAAAATAAAGAGAATGTGACTGTGACAATTTATGATTGAGGAGAGAGGATTTTGTATATGGATTAAAAATGTCTTTCCTTTTCCTTGCTCTGCATAGTGAAACCAGATCCTCCTGTACAAGTCCGGGTTTCCCCTCATAATAACAGAAACCTGCTCGTGGAGTGGTCTCCTCCCCCTACTTGGACCAACATGGACATCTTCCCCCTCAAATACCAGATCCTGTACAAGTGGGAAAACAGGGGCACCCCAAAGTCTGTCAATGTAAGAGTTGTTACACACGCACACAAAACTTGAAAGGTATCGAAACAACAGCGAGGTAAAATGTACACAGATACCACATGTGGAAGTTCAGAAATACTGAAACCCTTTTGACGACCACAAAAATGTTTCTGAATGCCCCTACTTTTCTAAAAAATCTTCTCTATCTAACTATACTCTGCAGTAAATATGTATGTTTTACTTCTTTTGGATTGATTTATTGACATTTTTGTTAGAAACACATTTAGAAAGCGGTTTGTCTCTTCATATAAATAATATAGCCTACTACACTCAAGTCTTAAAGGATTCATTCAGCATTCAACATTTACTGGCTTTAAATGAATGAGCTTTAGGTGCTTCTGGAGATATGATTCACATCTGAACAGACTCAAGCTGTTACTGTTGTCAGTCTATTTTGCTAAGGTAACCACTTGTTGTTTTGCCAAGCTAACCACTTGTTGGGATTGATTCCAACCCCATGGCCAGAAAGTGAACAATATTATTTCTCAAAAAGTCAACCTATTCATTTTTTATTCGATCATCCAAATTCATTTCAAAAGTGTGTTTTGAAAACCCAGTTGTTGAATATTGTTCATTTTTTCCACCTCCAGCTGGGTCCATTTGAGAGCACCAAGGCTGAGCTGAAGGGGCTGACACCAGGAAGGCCTTACTTTTTCCAGGTGTGTGCGAAGGAGCTGCTGGATCTCGGGGAGTGTAGCGACTGGAGCTCACCTGTAAACATCACCATATCATGAGGGAATCTGTAGAGCCTCCTTCACACTCCTCATTTTAAACTTGAAAGCTCAAGATCGGCAGACAGGTTGTACATGTCTTGTTTGAACTACATGAGCAGTGCAAGCTAAAGCTGTTGATATATTGTGTTATTTATAAAGAGGACACATATTTAATTATATTAGTATTTATTGTAATTCTGTCTTTTTGTGTTGAATTGTTTGTCTATGGAGCAGCTGATAATGTTAACTTATTGTGACAAAATAAGTGCTTCCCATTTGTGTGAAAAATTGAATAAAAAATAAAGCATGAGTATCGAACTAGTTTGTCCTTTCAGTCCACTACATGCACCACGAGTGGTGTGACAAACTCAGAGTGTCTGATGCCCATAGTGCAGGATGGAGGTTTGGGGAGGTGCACATAAGATTTTTCTGGGCTGTAGGTGCCGGGCCCGGGGATATCAGACGCATTATTAGGCCTTTTTGTGCGGCTCTGCATGGAGAAGGAGGGCTGACGCTGGCGGTAGACATCTGGATGAATGCTGTTGTATTTCGCTGGGCCAGGGCTCATAGAGAGGTCCTCTGATGGAGCTCCGATCTTCCTGCGGCCTGAGAAGCTAAAGCTGGCGCTGGATGGTTTATGGGGAACCTGACAGCCCAGCAGGTTAGGAAGGCTGTATCTGGAGGAAAGAGAACAATACATGCATGTAATGAAGGTTCATGGACGTTTCATTTCAGATTTTCACTCTACGGCAAAGCTAGCGCTAATGGTAATTATCAGCCACGTAGACTGTAGTCAAGAAAAAGTTTTAGCCACTGTGGGTTCAACAATTTGGTTGTAGTAAACCATTTTTAAAGGGGACAGATGTGACCACGTTTGGATGAGTGCAGTGGTATCAAAAATTCAAATTCAGTGACTGGATTAGCTGAGGTGACTCCTAGCGCATAGCTAGCACCAACCACCTGTCACTCAAAGCAGCTACACCCCTAATTATGAATAACTTAAAACCATAACAGTCATTGTCTAAACAGCTGGAAAAATCATATATGGGGCTGAATTGGACCGTAAAAATGTTTGATTCCACTATTAAGTTAGTCATTAGAGGAACTTCAGTTTTTGACATCCTGACATTGACTTCATTTCAAATAGCACATTTTTCTATACTTCACAAAGTCTCCAAATAAGCTCATTTATCCCTCCTTGTGACATAAATCTTGAAAATGACAATATTTTAAAGAGCTTAAGTTCGGTACAATGTTTGTTTAGAAATGTTACCTACAGGATCAATATGTAACTCTGACATCTAGTGTTTAAAATGGGTACTGCAGTCCAAATTTAAGACACTTGAAAGAAATGTTTCCCCCCACCCCCTCCTCCCTAGATTTGATGTACACACAGGTAGCAAAAGACCGGCTGCTGTGTTGTTGTCAGAGAAGCCAGTATTTCAACATAGCAAGTTTCCTTAACGCCTGATGACATACTAAGGTCATCTTATTATTTAAGTCCTTTGATTTTTGCTGTCTTCACCTGTTTGGTGCTGGCACAGCGTCCACAGAGCGATATCTGGTGCGGCTGCCGATGGTGTAGGATGGTGGTCTGTGGTGAGCATTGACGGGGGGAGCTTTCTCTGGGCTGTAGGCCCCCGGCCCAGGAGTCTGGAACACCTCACCTGCCAACAGAAATTGATCTGAGATGTAGTTTTCTTTATTATCTTTACTTGAGGTTTTATTCAATCTCTGCTTACTAACTAATGTATAAGATGATAACAAAGTATCTGACAAAGAAGGTTTGTCAGAATAAATTAACCTTTTTAAAAAAAATGTCCTCACCTTTTGTTCTGGTGCTCCTTCCTCTGCCCAGAATGGAGTATGAAGGTGTTTCCATCTTCCCAAAACGGGTAACCTTGGCATCAATGTGGTACCTAGGTCCTGGGCTGGAGTCCACTGAGACCACTAGAGAAAAACACAACACTGAAATAATTAACCAAGACACCTTACAATCTCATACATTTAAAGATGTTCCCATACCCGTACCCATATTGAAAATTCCAAGGCATACTGCCTAAGATGTAGTGTAAGTTATCTGCTATCTATATGACAGTTGGCCACAGTTATAAAATATTTAATTATGCCAACAGCATAATGTCAACAGTAACTTCAACTAATTACTGAGACAAATGACCACCACTTGCTACTTCTGCTTAAATGTGTGGACATTTCTTTTCATGTAATATGACAGACATTTTCAGTGAAATATTTTCAACAGGATTTTTCAGAAACATATGATAATTGGATACTGTTCGATTCAGAGGGAATTTGAGGAAACTTTACACAGGAATTTTCAGGAACTTTTAGGAGTTAACATGAAAATATTCACTGAGAATCTTTGGTAACTTTAGGAATTCTTTCCTCCAACTTTTAATCTATTTTTAGGCAACTGCCAGAAATTTTTAATGGAAAATTATTGGGAAGATTCGTTCATTTACACTGGGAATTATCAGAAACTTGAAGGAATTTTACCAGGAATTTACCTGGAATTTCTTCTGAGAATTTCAAAGGAAATCTTGAGAAACTTGCCAGAATTTAAAAAGAAAATAAATAATCAGAAGACCCCTTTTGGATTTTCCAGGGACATTTTTGAGAAACGTGCACGTCTGATCATCCTCCCAAGATAGGTGTCACCTTGGCATCAATGTGGTTTTGTGAAATTTGGGGCAGATGACTAAATATCGTCACATTTGTCTATATTAACAGACACACAACAGTGTGACATAACAGTGTGACATAACACTGGAGCATGTACAGAGGAGTTGCAAACCACTTCTTGTTTAGTGTCGACATGCACATTTCAGGGCTTGGAAAGACTGGTACGTAAAATAAAAATGTCTGTCATAAAAGTAAGAAAACACTTAAACAACATTATTGATCCATTAAACGACGATCCAACACAACACAGATTGGCATCTAAATACATTACAACTCACTGGCGCTGCTCAGTCGACTGTGAAAGGAGTAAGCTGGGCTGCTGGGCTTGGTGAAGTCATGGTTGATGTATCCGACTGTAGGGGGCAGAGCGTAGCGTCCGGGGCCCGGGCCTGACAACAAGAGGAGGAGGAGAGGAGAAGGAAGACTGTGATAGACATGATGCAACAGGGTCAGCTTTGAGTAGCTGTATATAGCTCCACCACCCCCCTGCTCTATGGCTCGGAGTGGGTTGGGTGGGGGGTGGGGGGGTATTGTCTCTGATGATTTCCATATGGAGCTCTTTGACTAATTTTCTATGGTTATGCATTTTAACGTTCTTCCTCTGCTTGTTTGGGAATGGATTCTAAACAAAGTGGAAATCTCAAACAAGTGTGGAGCAATGGCTGTATAATGCTGTGAAAGAAGTCATAGGAAAAAAACAGTTAAGCTTTAACTCAGTCCATGTGGATACACACACACACACACACACACACACACACACACACACACACACACACACACACACACACACACACACACACACACTCACACACACACACACACACACACACACACACACACACACACACAAACACACAGACATCCCAAACTGACCTCTTTCTCTTGCAGATATTATCGGCCGTTTCTTCACCACCTCCTGCATTCTCTGCCAGCCTCGCCTGCCTTCCTCTTCGAAAACCTCGGTGACTTGTGTTGTGACTCTCTCCAGGTGATCCTCGGCCGCCTCCTTGGCTAAATAATACATGACCAGGGAGGTGAAGAAACCTTATCTTGACCGAGGCCCCGGATGCGCCCTGACCCTGTTCTCCACCCTCTTTTCCCTTAGGTCCCCGGGGGGACAAAAGGTCGACTCTGTCTGGGCTAACAAGGAGGATCTCCACTCATTGTTCCTCTGTGATGTCTTGTCATTTGATGGCTGTTTAAAGATAATTGAACGTTAAAGATTAAGCTCTGTTTAAGTCCCAGAGCAAGGCAACTATAATCACATAATGTGATTCATTAGTCACCCTATTCCGAGGCATTGTGTTACTACAACTGAACTACAGTATGCATGCTGTAACTAATAGCATCCCCGTACAAAAGCCATTAAATATGAAAGGACTTACACGGCTCTTCTGTTGAACGTGGTCACAGGACAAGCTCAGGGTAGCTGTAATGAAACCGTGGACTGCTGAGAATTAAAATTTGGCCTGCTTTTTGTTAGTCAGGGAAAACATACTTCCAAGATCAGTGCAAGGTCTCTAAAAGATGCCTGCCAATGTAGCTTTTGCAAATTTAGTAAGATAACAATAACAACATGCCAAGTGTTGCCTTCCAACAGCAAAACAAACCATCAAAGACAATGAGTGTTAAAAACGGCAAAGAACATTTCTGCAGTTTTTCTTCTGTTTGCTGGTAAATCAGTTGTGGAAGATAACTTCTGGGGGTTCATGGACTCTTGAGTTTACTTAAATTGAAATAGTTATGTGAGTAGTTATGAGTTGTTCCATCTCCATATAGCCACATGTTCGATGTATCCATGGGCAAGACACTTAACCACAAATTGCTCCGGCAGCTTTGTTGGCGGAGTATGAATGTGTATGAATGGGATTAGTTACTTCTGATGGTCACTTTACAAAGCAGCCTCTGCCAGCAGTGTGTGAATGGGATGGTGTGTCTATCTAACTGTTTTGAGGCCAGTTCTAAGGTTTTTTCATCACTGAACTTAGAGGTCACTAAAACCATAACAGCAGAGCCATGATCATGTTTAAATCCTGAACTGGTTAAATATTAAGCACCAGTGTCTCAGAGTGGTCACACACTCAGAGATAAGACTTTTAAGACTAAAGGGAGGGAATACAACCACTGTATTGATTTGCACTGATACATTTGCAAAACTATGAAGCGATACATTTGAGTTGAGTACAGATATGAAGCTCTTTGTGTGACTGAGACGAGGTACAGCCTGGATAACTCAAAGAGAGTATTTGTTAAATACTTCTGATTTTAATCGCAAATGTTTTCAGTCTGGCTGTATGTTTTCCAGGAGTTCTTTCTGAAATATCAACAAAATTGATGAAGAGAAAGTTCATGGAGCCAAAAACTACCTAAATTAAAGGTCACATATTAAACTCCTTTTCAACAACTTTAAATAAGTCTCAGAGCGCCCCAAAAACTGTGTGAAGTGTCTTGTTAAATATCCAATCTGATCCTGTATTTAAGCATGCCTATAAACCCCTCTATTTCTGCCCTGCTCAGGACAGACTGTTTCCGTGTCTGTAGCTTTAAATGCAGGTGCTGTGTTTGACCACGCCCCCTTTTTGAAGGTCTTGGGTGGCTTGGACCTTCCTTTATCATGCCCTATTGTTTACGGCGAGAAGGCAGACTCAGAGGGCAGAACAAACAGCTATAGCTGTGGGAGTGTCGCCGACCTGGGGGAGGGGTTACTGCCCTTTGTGATGTCATGAAGGGAAAACCTAAAAACGGCCTGTTTGCACACATTTTCTGAAAAATGGAGAAGGCAAAAGACGGGGAGGATGGACTTTTCTCATGATTAGTGACAGGCTAGGAACACATACGCATTACTGTTACAACAACAATGGGGAATGGTGTATTTTGCTTTATATTTGACCTTTAAGATGAAGTTAACGCTCCATGAGTGCTGCATTTGAGCTGTTCTTAGTCTGCATACATTTGCTGCCAATTACATTTTTCACACCAAAAATGTAAGTTACACTTGCCTGTTTGAGACATGTAGCTTTATTCTTAAACACAATTGTCCCTTTAACTAAATTAATATGGGGTGTGCAAGATCCAATTTGATTCCCCTTGGCTTACTTAAAAGTTTGCTCTAGTTGACCTTAGCAGTCCAAGCCTGTGTCATTAATGTCATTTTTTACATTGGTTGATGGATTGTGTTTTTGTAACCAATAACACAACAGGTGTAGGTCAAGTAGGAAGATGTTTTAGGTGTAGCAGGCCAAGAAACGCACTGTCCACATATGAGGAAAAAGAGGTCTGTTTATCATGTATCGGACTTTCACACAACTCATTCCCAAACTCTGTTTGTTTGTCAGCCTTTTTTTTTTCTTTACAACGTTAAAGATCATTAACAACTTCAGTCATTAATATGTCTTTACTAACTAAACATAACTTAGGAAATAAAACATAACTTTATACAGTTTTAAATATGCTGGTACAATTCAGTACAAAAATAAAGACAGTGAAACGTCTACACACACACACACACACACACACACACACACACACACACTCCAACGTGTCAGTCACATACATACTTTCACTCAGAAACACATGAACACTGGCTGAACCAGTTTGGCACATTTCCCACTCTTATTACAAAGCATGAATTAAAAATACTGGGCGATAGTTGGTCTTTTTTTTTCTCTTAACATAGAACAACAGTGAAAGCTTTGGGTTTGGAATGTCCTCGGATGCTAAACAGCCACTAGATGGTGCTTTGGATCCATGGGGGGGAAATCAAATAAAACATCCCTGAATACTCTCAGAGGCTTGGACAATGCGTCCAAGTGTGTTCTCATCTCTTTTTTTGCGCAGGTTTAGAGCAAATATGTGTAAAAAAAGGAAAAAAAAGTCTTTAAGCATGCAATGGCATCCTTTGAGAAATCTGAGTGGTCTTTGTTGTCTCTTTTTCTTTTTCTAAAAAATTATACCAGGATTATCTGTGGTGAGTCCATCATTCTCTGCTGCACCTTTCTACGCCAAACACAGTTCTCATGTCGACAGGAAAAGACACATTAGAAGAAGAACAATCCCACAGTTCCTCCTTGGATGTCCTCTCGTCTCCACAGCTGGTATTTGCACAAAATGTCCAGAGCGAAATGTCTTATAATTCCAGGATAAGAAAACAATCTCTCTTCTTATACACACACAGATAAAAATACACACACACTCCTTTTCTTGTCTTCTTTCTGTTAAGTCAGCCTGTGCTAGGATTTATCCCCTGGAAGAACCTATGTAAAAAAAATCAAAAACAAATCTGTTACAAATCAGCATTCACAGGACAGATTTTTTTCGTGTATACTTTGTGCAGCCTGACGTCTGCGAGTCCCTGCTTCGCGATGCTTACCTACCTGGTTGCGAGCTTTATGCGACTTCTGCATCAGCACTCTCCACTGGTCGTACAACTTCATGGACATGCTGCTGCAGCCGTAGGCGTGTTTCCGCACCCAGCCGAAGAACTGCTTCAGCTCCCTGCGCAGGGTGGAGTTTGAGTCCCCGCTCGACTTCGAGTCACACGAGCCCGACATCAACCGCTCTGCAGGAAAGAAAGAAAGAGAAACAGACGGAAAGAGAGAGAATTAGGCTGGAGTCAGGCAGGCCTTTTGTGCTGTTCAGCAACAAAAAAAAAACAAGCTCATGTCAGCAGAAAATAAAAACAGACGAAAAGAAGTGAGATGAGTTTTGAAAACTACACTCTTGGAAATGGAATATGTTCTATGTCTATGCCAGTATTAGATACACTTGGAGGTATGAAATGTTCAGGCAGTACTACCCCCTGACCTCCATTGGATCTGTCTAGGACATATCCAATAATTGCTGGCGTTCATAGTATCTTCTGGGAAACCATTCAAGGAAAATTCATTGTTTTCTACCAAAGTTTTTTTTATCCTAGTCGTGTCCATCATTCCTACTAGTTGTGATAGTAGTGATAACTCACTGACAGCCCCCCCCCTCCCCGCATTAAACCCCTATCCCATTTCTGAACAAAATCTCATCAATCGAGGGAGAAGAAATAGCGCGATACAAAGATTCTTGTGTAATTGACCATATTCACATGGTGGCCATTTTCACTGGCAGCACGCTCCATTGCAAAAAAAATTACAATGTTGTAGGCTACTTCTTTGTTCCCGGTTTTAGGTTTTACAATTTAAGGATATCTGACAACTGAAATCATTTCACGTCTTCTTTATTTCTGCATGAGCGTGACTTGGCATGGGCAAAAGCCAGAAAAAACTTACCAGAACTCTGACTGGCTAGTCTTCAGGCGATTGTGCAATGGTTGCGAATTTTAAGTCAGAAAAGATAAAGCCGATTTACCTACCGTCACAGACCTCAGCAAATCTAAATAATCCATCAACATTTTGGATGACTGCCAATTCCTTATGAGAAAAAAATAAAGGCTGAGAACCTCTTTCTAATTGTCATGGACTCTCTGAGAACAAAAAGCTTGTTTGTTTCGAATTAAAGTTTCATAGCTTCTGTTTTGTTTTTGACTCTCTTAATCCCACTCATTTGAATTCCACTTGTGATGCGTCTGATGTTCAGGCTCTGTCAAATCAGTATTTTACTTAATAGGAGTTAAAGTAAAATACTGATTTGGCAGAGCCTGAACGAGTACACAAAGCCTTCAGGCCCTTGGACGCAACAAAAGAAGGAGGCCCTGATAAATGGGAACATTACTTTTTTTAAAGTTAGCTGCAGATTTGATTGTTCCACCTTCGACACATATTCTTAATCCTTCTCTGGTCACTAATGTCATTACACAAATCTGAAATCTGCCTTTTGTTGTTCCCCTCTTTATGAATGGGGGGGACCCTACTATTTTAAATAACTACAAGGCCCATCTCAAACCTGTCCTGACCAAGGATCTGGAAAACACAGTGATTAGCTAAATTAGTTGTTTTTTTTAACATTAAACTTTCAATCTGGTTTTAGAAAATGACGCAGAAAAACATCAGCAGCTCTTAAAGTTTTTAATGGTTTTATAGACTGTATAGATAATAAGCAACATTGTGCAATCATCTTTATAGACCTGTCACTTTTGATTATGTAAACCATACAGTACTCAACCACAGACTGAATAAAGCAGGACGGTTCGATCAAACAGTTTTAAAAACTACCTTTAAATAGAACCCAGTGTGCGCAGGCAGAGGGCTGCACCTTTAGATGCAACTTAAACATCCAAGAGTCACTGTTTTTTTACCCATCATGTTTGGTTATGTAATAATTAGATAAGTGTGTATGTCGTCTAACAGCATCCACCATTTGAAAACTGCAAATATAAATCAGAAATTTCTAAAAGAAAAGTAAGGGTTTTAAAACAAAAAAAAGTGTGTCTCATTCTCCTTCAAATCTGCTGCTTTAATGTGGTGACCCAAAATCTGTGACAACTTTTAGAGGCAAATTTGCTCCTTTAAAACTGACCAAAATGATCCAAAAAGTATGAACAACCTTTGTGAGGAGATTAAAGGTGTGTGTAAGTGCGTGTTCTCACCGCTGTGTGGCGTGGAAGCAGCAGTAGGGTGGCTCCACTGGCTCCAGATCCCGGCTTTACGAGAGCCGTAGATTCCCACAGGGTTACAGCGAACCTGAAGAAAACACACAAAAAAAGTCGTCAACACCAACTAAATCACATTGTTTTTTTTAACATGAACTAAAACACACATTCGCTATAACGTACCTGGACGAAATATACAGTTCCAGGTCTCAGTCCAGCCAGTCTACAAGATGTTTGATTCCCCACGTCATCCATCACCTAGGCGGAAAAAAAAGAGACACAAACACGGAGGATTTGAGCGCTGGAGGTCTGACCGCAGTATTAAATACCAATGGGAAAAAACTTAAACACAGGGCAGGATCAACAGGACCGCAAACCATGTACAGACCTAAACATCGCATGCACACCACATTGTTTAGTGGCTCCTGATCAGCGTGTTTATAAAAATATTTTCATGAAATGGTGCCTGCTGGGCAAAAATCTGCTCTTTATTACTTATTACAAAGCTGGATACACGGGAGAAATGAACACAGGAGCGTGCGCAGGTACTCAAACACACAGACAGGCGGCAGAAATAAAGAGAGGAAAATAGAGGAAGAAACTGCAGCTAATAATGTTGTCTTAATAGGCTCCACTTTCTCCCTGGCATTCGGTCTGTAAACAGTTGTTAAGAAGGACTAAAACAGAAAACAGAACATGGAAATTACAGGCATCAGAGCGCTAATGATGTGACACGAGGAAGCCAAATCTCTGAGTGTCTTTGCAGCCATGTTGAAGACATTAACAGCAGAGATGTATCCCTCCATTCCTCAGCATGACCTCATGATTAGGGCCGCTTCAGAGGGAAACAGCATTTTTGTTTTCACCACCAAACTCTTAAAGCCACTCGGATTTAAGTCTCATCCGTCCACCACCTCGCTCCACTCCCCGTCTTTCTTTCTTTTCCACTTTGCGAGCGAAGACTTGCTTATATTATATCGGTGTAATTCCCCCTTAATTACTGGAGAATCTTCACCCGTACCCAGAGGACTCGAATGAGTTCTGGGAAGCGCCATCTGCACAGCTAAAGGTCCCACACTGTATTTTTCATTCATTAAAAGTTAGAGCCCAAGTATACACAGTGGCTCTGGCCTGTGTTTTTCTCCTGATCAAAACCGTACTTGTAGATTCATGACTGATGAAAGTTTTTCAAACAGCCCAGCTATTAACTCATCTGGCAGAGGAGGCCTCAATCAGAGTAGATTAGAGGAGATCACAGCATTAGGATGAGAAACAGCTGGGACATCGCTTTTATCGGCGCGTATGCGAGAGACAAAAGAGAAGAGATTTATGTCCTCACAACTATGTGTGTCCTTGTCCTTTACCTTCCAATCTTGGCTGTCCTCCAGTCTGTAGCGGATCTGGTATTTGGCCTGAAACAGGAAATCTTTGAGAGCAGGCGGGGCCTCCCAGCGAACACTCAGCTGGTCCTCCAGCAGCCCGACACGGCTGACTGTCACACCCGATGGAGGGTCTGTGGTCACTGGAGGGAGAGGAGATGGAAAGGGAAGAATTTAAAAGATGAAAAATAAAAAAATACCACCAATTTAAAATATTTCTCCCTTGCCAAATATGAATATTAACTAGTTCTCTTGGTCATTAGTGATACGAAACCAAATGTCTTTTGGTTTGAGACATTTGTACATCTTCCTGGTCTCTTGAAAAAACGTGAAAAATGTTTTAATGAGGATAAGGATTTTCAAAATAAAGATTTAATGCAGCCCTAATCCCGTTAAATCCACCTTCAACAAGTCAGTCCCAGGATGGATCCAAACAGGTCCATAATAGTCTCTGACGTTACAATAATACTAACTGAATGCTGAATGCTGACACAATGATTCTGATGATTATTTTTGTGAGTTGTCCATAAAGTCCTTAATAGTGTGTTCTATAAATTCTATTTCCATTTTTTGCATATTGTTTGAGACTTAGACTTTCCACTTGTAACATGCTAGAAAATTATAAATACTTATTCTAACTTCTAAACACTCCACTATGCTCCCGAGCTACTCAATAACTCTGCCGCTCTGTTTTTTTTTTTTTCTTTTTCTAAACTCAAAGCCTTTTCATTAAAAACAGCTTCTGTCTGCTGCTGAGAGAAGGTTAATAGGAGCTGTGAGAGCAATAAAATGGGTCTGAAAACCAAAACAATGAGCTGAAAGATACTAAAACGCTCTGTAAAGCTGAGGGTAACTGTAGAGCACATATTTAACAGGTCATTAATCAGTTGTTTATCATAAGGATACATAAATGTCTTTGACATGAGTGAGTACGTTTACATGGACTTGAGTATCCAGGGTTTGGTCAGGTTTTTTAAGGATCCTGTTTTTTGTGTCGTGCATGGAGCTGGAGAACTTCGAAAAAAATACTGTGGCATGTATACGCCTTACCCCGGTTTCTGACAGCTGCCGACTAACTGCGCAGGCCTCAGCCAAGTTACGTGTCAGAAAAACAAACACGGTGGCGGCAACGAGAGCGTCTTATTCTAGAGTGACGAGTTTTGTAGTTCGCTAATAAATGTGTGCATGTAAATGCCTTATCCTGAAACTCAGGGTAATAACCAGGATACTGAAGTCCATGTAAACCCACTCACTAAGATCATGTCAAAGGAGTTGAAGCTTGTTTTTGAGGGGAAGGGGGCTGTTCTGTCATAATCAGTGCAAGAAATATACAAACTGAGAATTCATGAGGGGGACACATGGTTGTTGTTTTTAAAAACTTACATTCATTTACAAGTTTATTTCTATCCAAAGATCTGAATGATACACTTCTGGTGGACAGATGGCCTTGATTAGCATTTTCATCCAAAGCTCCATAGCTTAGGGGCTTCTTTCTTCATCTCAGAGTTATATTTGCAGGGTCAAGCAATCCATTCAATTCCAATTGAAAGTAGCAGTAGTGATGTCTTAATGTGTAGGAGCACACTGGAGGCTTGTTGTGTGTTAGTGGAGGGATTCTTGGTCCTGAGTGCTTTCCAAGAGTTGACTTGTGTGAGTCTGAAGAGGCTTTTTCATCTGATAACTATTATGTTTCTCGACAAACAAACACATGGTGACAGACCATTATTTTAACTCTCTTCTCTTTCTTCTATGTTTTTATTTTAAAAATCAACACACATCAACGCGTGTTCATATTCATAATGTCATCCTTTACATGTAAACAAACTAGACGACCCAGGGGAAGGACGTAAACGAGAACGATTCAGAGGAGGGAAAAGTTTAAGATTGCGGCACGCATTAAACATTCTTGTATATTTTGATTTTCAAAATAAAAGTAAGGGAAAATGTAAGGAAATTAAAGTCATAGCTTATAGCAAAAAACATATTACAATGAAGAAAATAGCTGTCCTAATTAATGACACGTTCTGAAAATATCGACTTTAATGGTAAAAAAAACATTGTCAAAGTGCTTCTGTTAAAAAATAGTTGATGCACCTGCATGTTTTTACTTTACAAACTGCACAAAAAAAACATGCCTCTATCGAGTTAAAAAGTAAGATAAACAGCTTTGGTTAACTGGTGAGCTTATCTCAAGGTGATAAAGTTGTTTTCTTATGTTCTTTTTGTCCCCCTTCTTTTACCACTTCCCTCATCTTTCTGAGAGGGGCGCCGATAGCCCAGTGGTTAATGCGCGCCCCGTGTACGGAGGCTATAATCCTCCAAGCGGACGTCCCTGGTACGATTTTTGACCTGTGGCTCCTTTCCTGCATGTCTTTCTCTCCCCAATTTCTGACTCTATCCACTGTCCTATCTCTAAATTAAGGCATAAAAAAAGCCCCAAAATAAACCTTTGTTTAAGTTTTCAAGAGAGCTCATGATATCCTCCTACTGTTTAACACAGTGATTCAATTGTGTGAACAATACGGCAACAAAGGCAACAATTGACTGACTGACTGATGGAATTACAGCTGTCTGTCAAATGATTACATTTTTAAATCGCAATTAATTCCTACATTTCAATAGTTAATTGTGATTTATCACTTTTCTTTTGCATGTTTGAAATTCAAATTTGTTAGGCTCTTATTTTACATTTTTGTACTCTCTTAAACTGAGAGTAAATTACCTGCTGTTGCAATTATTACTGATTTTTAAATCCTTCTGGTATATCGAAGGTTACGATACTAACTTAACCATAGAAAAAAATAACTTGTTATGGATCAAAATCTAAAAGAAAACAGTTCAAAGAAACAGTAAAAAAGTGAAAAGTTTGATGTCATAATGTGGACATTACTTTTGACTCGTCAGCTGAGCTGGCAGAGAGGCTTTTTTTTAAGTCAATTGAGACATTCAAAGATGCAGCAGTGTTCTTTTCCATCACTATGACTACAGGGAGACACAGCGGATGCTTATCCACGGAGTGACAAAAGGTAGCGTGCGATTAATCGCTATTAAAAACTATGAATGCATTCATTTCAGACCTTAATAATCGATTGACTAGTTAACGCTGAAAGCCCTGGGAAGAATTGCAAAATGTTGACGTAGCATTTTTTTGTTTGGACTGTTCCTTTACAACATATACATTAAAGTCAAATTAACATAACATATGTTGTGTCATTCTTCATCACATCATCATCATCTCAGTCTGACACTTAATTCAAGTTCCCTCTCGTCTCCTGGTTTAGAGGGTTCCCCCCCGTGACTGTGGAATGCAGAGAAAACTGGAGGTGTTTCCGCCTCGCCTTCATAACTGATTAGACATGACCGTAGACGTGACTCACGGCAGCTCGACGCCGCGAGGTGTGGTTGCTGTGTTTTATGACCCGCCACTGTTGTGGAAACTGCTCAAGAATGGCCAGGGCAACCTGAGCGAAACAAAACGAATACACACGAGTCCAGAAACCGCCTACACTTCGCCTGGCTGTGTGTTTCTATACTGTTACCAGGCCCTGCCCTGCCCTCAGGGTGTGTAAACAGGTGGGAGTGTGTGTGTGTGTGCGTGTGTGTGTGTGTGTGTGTGTGTGTGTGTGTGTGTGTGCGCGTGTGTGCGCGTGTGTGTGTGTGCATACATTAGTGAACGGAAAAGGATTACAGTTTGATGGAAGCTTGTTTCCTCGCTCGTGACATGTTCGCCTCTCAAACTCTATATGGTTTTCTCTCAGCACATTTCTCACACACGTTGTTTGGAGCGTGTCAGGAGTCAACCAGGTGAAGAGCTCCAAGCTAATCATGTTGTATTATTTCAGGTCCAAGTCTTAAAGCCTCAAAGCTCATACTCCTCTGGCCTCGGGGGTCTGCAGCCGTCTCAGAGACGGGATTAGGTCCGGGGATCAGTCAGGAACATTCCAATGCTACATAAAAGGAGCTAGCCAGTGTTTTCTCTGTGTGTGTGTGTGCGTGTGTGTGTGTGTGTGTGTGTGTGTGTGTGTGTGTGTGTGTGTGCGTGTGCATGTGTGCGTGTGTGTGTGTTTTTGTGTCCAGTGAGCATGAGTAAAGAGAAAATGTGCTCATCAAAGGGGAGGGCGTTTCCATTTGTCAAACACCTACGCCTGTCCAGGTGTGTGTTTGCATGTGTGTATGACTGCGAGGGTGTTTTTTTTTTTTTTAAGGGGATAATGAGAAAAGAGGAGAATCTGTCTTGGTGCATGCTCCGTTTGCTTAAACAGCACTAAGCCAGGCAAGGAAGCCCAGAACAAAGCTTTAAAAGGAAACATAGCTCAGCTCCTACGAGCAGGAAGCTACAGGAATACCTGCATGGGGAATGATAATCTTATTCGACTTTCAAGAGGCTAAAGTTGGAGTTAGTCATGGTTATCAACCTGCTGGACACAAGATCATGTGAGGGGTCGCGAGATGATAAGCATTTGAATGTTTTCAGTTGCCTGATAGTATGGTAACATTTATAGGGATTTTTATTTGTCATCTTTGCAGTTCTATGTAAAGGCATGATTGTTTTTTTTTTTAGGAATCCTATATTTAGGATTCAGAACAGAAGCAGGGAACAGCTAGCGTGGCTACATTCAGTGATTCAACGCTGAAAGAAATTTTCTGGCACTAAACTCCCTGTAAAACCACAAATTGTTGTTATTAAGGCTAAGGTTTTTTTAAATGGTTTCATAAAACAAGTAAAAACATGATAATTAAAATACTTATGAGATGCTGGAAGCTAAACTTTTATGTTTTGTGTTGCTTTTAACCCCTGCTTACAGTAGAGTCTCAACGCTCAGCTAATGCTAACCTTCAAAGTGAACGCAGAGAGACATGATGCCAATCTCATCCAACTCTTGCTTCAGGGGGGGAAAAAAAAGCCCATTTACTTAAATGTCTTACTTCATCTTCAAATCAGCTCATTTTACAAAAAGAATATTCATCAAAAAACTGCATTCAAGAGCCAAGTTCGCTAGACGAGGATTTGCATTGATGACTTTGACTGGATAACATTTGTATTATATTCAAACTTTATTTAACCAGGAGAAAACTCGTTGAGGGCTTTTTACGTTGGTGCAGCGGTTAACGCTGCTGCCTCACAGTAAAGAGGTTCCAGGTCTGAATCTCTATCTGACAGGCCCTCTCTGTGTGGACTGTGTATGTTCTCCTTGTACACAAGTGGGTTCTCTCCGGGTCCTCCAGCTTCCTCCCACAGTCCAAAGACATGCTCTCTAAAGTCCAAAGACATGTTGCTTCTAAATTGGCCGTATGTGGGAATGTGAGCGTGGCTGCTTGTCTGTCTCTATATTTATTTTTATTTTTTTATATAGTCATTATATGTCAGTCCAGGGTGTACCCCGCCTCTCACACAATGAAAGCTGGGATCGACTAGAACCCACTTTAATGAGGCACTTAATTGTTGCTGCCAGACGTCGCTCGGTATGTATATCTCAGTCAAAGTGATGAGGGACAGACGGAAGAGATAAATAAAAAATGATGTATTCAACTGTTTTTCACCCTTACAACATTTCAAAATAAGTGTGGATCAGCTTTTGTAAACATTTCACCATATTCCACTCCTCACTCTGTGATATATCACCTGGTGTTTCTTAGCAAGGCAGGTCGATTACATAAAACGCACTGCTTCATAAAAATTCAAATTCCCCTCTGTGTGAATATTGTTTGAGTTATTTCACATAATAAGTACACAGCTCAAACAACATAGAATCAGGTTTTTTTAGGCATTTTACTGCAGGAAGGTTAAATAACTTTATCTAATAAGGGAGCATTTGGTTTAAAGTAAGGGGTATAATGGTTCAAAGAGGGGAAATTTACTCAATCTGTCAGTGATTTACGATGAACAAGTCTTTGCCATATGCCTCTGCATTGTTTTTTAATGGGCTGCGAGTCTAAAAGGCTTGTATCATTTGTCCTGCGTGAGAGCCCCGAGGCTTTATTGACACAGAGATCTAAGCTGTAAAAAAAAACAAAAAAACACAAGACAAACAAAAGAGTGTCAAAGTTCACCTCTTCTCACACTCACCCACGTCTAAGATGTCGAGAGTGATGACATCAGAGGTAGCTTGCCCAAGCTGGTTGGAGGCCTCCACCCAGATCTCGTAGGGTGTGAAGAGATGCAGGTCCCGGGTGATGCTGCAGGAGTACGGCTGTGAATGAGTATAATCCTCGCACTCCTTCTCCTTACCGTACCATCTGGCGGGGAACAGAAAATATTAATCCTCGAATAATTCATGTGAGGTCGAATTTATTGCACTGTGTTTCGGGTTAAGAGTTGATCTGGCACAAGTGGTTTTAGTTAGTCCTTATTTACACTAAGCGGACTGCCGTAAGTCATTTCCATGCAGTTGGCAACCCTATGGGCACTGCATGTCAAGCCATTTCCCTTTTGGTTGTTTTTTTTTTGTAACTTCTGATTTAATTATTAAAAAATGTGAAAAGAGCTTACAACCCATCTGAAACTCATTTTCAAAATGCATCATTCCCAGACAAAAAAAAAGAAGCTTTTTTGTAATTCTAATAAAATTTGTCTTTTCCCTAAATAAAGCACTTTCACCCTCCAGCAACTGCTGAACATATTCTATTTTTTTTTTACGATCATGGTCTGCCAAAGAGATAAAATATTTTGTCCTCTTTCCAGCCCAGCTTAAGCTTGCGTCTTGTTACTTTTGAGGCATGAAACTACCAAGTAACATGTTATGAAATATGATGATTTTGAGCTGGAACAATGAGCGCGTGGAGTAGAACATTTGACCCATTTTAACCCCACGGCTGGTTTTATTTGGTGGTTACTTCATTTCACATTCTCATGGCATAGCTACATATTAGAAGCTGTAATTTCAGAATAAACAAGGTTAACCCAGACGTGTGATCAGCTGACCTTTGACTAAATCCCTTAATCATTACATTTCATCATGGCCGACAACTTTGTTTGGCTCCTTTCTTCTGAAGCCATGTTCAGGCTCCTACACTGGTTTTACAACTTTTAAAAGGAACATAGCGTCATTTTTTTGTTTTTTTTAAGATTTCATAAACTACATTATGTCATGGAGTTAGCCCAGCCTTCCCCACTCTGCTAAAGTCCCTCCTGGATGACGCTATATGGAGAGTAAGGTTAATTTTAGCATACACGCTATGTCATTACTGCATTAGGGGAAGTTTACACTGTGGCAACCAAAACCAAACGTGTTGCTCCAAATGATGACATATTGGTTAAGCCATCATCCAACTTGCTTTCCCAAGCTAATATGAGAGTACTGAAGGTTTCAACAAAAGAATAGTATGACCTTATCTTCTGGTGAAAAAAACATTTTAGTGACAGAGAGAGCATCCCCGTAACCATAGCAATGAGGAGGTGATCGAATGATAAAGAGGGCATGTACTATTGATTGATCAATTTTAGCCCCTTTTTTACAACTAGATAGCGCACATTTTCAATATTTGGATATAGCTACCAAGTTAATTATTAACATAAGGTAATTTGCTGTTAGCTGGTGGCAAACGGTGATCGGCACATCTATCACATCTATCAGGTTGAAAAGTTAACTCAGTAACTCCAAAAAAGCAGATTTTTCAGAGTCTGTGTTCATATATATACCTGAGTTTGTACTTGAGTCTGTACTGCGTGCTAATGTTGGTCTCTCCCTTTCCTCCTGGAGCCCAGCTGCAAGTCAGGTCTTTGGTGTTCCTGGACCAGCAGGTCAGAGTGACCGGCTTCTCTGGCGGCACTGGGGCAGAAAGAGGGGCAAATGGTAAAATTAGGGAGAGACAATAAGTAAGAGAAAGAAGAGGAAAATACAGAGAGAGATGGTAGAAAAAGAAAACGATGGAGGAAGGAAGCAGTCACCTCCAGCCATTACTTCAGCCCTGTCCTCCTGAGTGTAATGCACCCACTGGTGATGTTCCTCAGTAAATGGCCTGTTTTTTCTTAATTGGTGTGTTCTCCTGTGTGTGTGTGTGTGTGTGTGTGGTGTGTGTGTGTGTGTGTGTGTGTGTGTGTGTGGTGTGTGTGTGTGTGTGTGTTCACTGATTTGGTCAGACTCAGGATCCCTGCCAACATTCCTCGTCTCTCAGAACACATGGTGCTCAACAGCAGTGTCGCACAGAGATTAGGATCCTGACTGCATCTCCTTGTGTGTGTGTGTGTGTGTGTGTGTGTGTGTGTGTGTGTGTGTGTGTGTGTGTGTGTGTATCAAGCACATATTTATCTAAATTTAGTCTAATCCTTTTACTCCAAAAATAAGTGTTTTCACTCTAACACCTCTCACAGTCTTTACAATCACTTGCATGTTGTTGTTGGTTTTTTTTTCATTTGACCTGCAAGAAAAAATGTTAGCGAGCAAAGTGTGTCTGCGGTTTGTGGGAGTGAGAGAGACATGTTTTCCTAACTTTGCAAAGACCTGTTTCAGAGTATTAATCAGATGGTTATAGAGATGTGTTATGTCTTTAGAAGCTTTTATAAAAAGTACAAGCCAATACTTTGAAATAATAAGCCAATAGTCCTTTGTGAACATCACAGCTCATGTATAAAGACCTCTTGGTTTAGCTTGTACTTAGTAAACACCTCAGGTCAGGTCACATCTACCCATTCACACACTGATGGCAGAGGCTGCTATATAAAGTGTCTATCATTATTAGCTTATTCATATTCATACACTGCTGACGTAACAGCGGGAGCAATTTGGCCTGACCAAGGACACATGGAACATGTAGCTGCAGGAGCTGGGGATCTGACCCCCCCCCCCCAACCTGGTTGAGAGACAACCAACTCCACCACTGAGCCGGAGGCACCCCAATTACATATCCGGAGTTAAAGTGGTTCAGATAATCTGCCTTGTTTACAACTAATGTGAACAAGACTATGAATGAAATCAAGTGCTGTTAAAGTAGTGAAACAAGTTACTTTAGCTTAGCACATTGTCTGGAAAAACAGGGAAATACCTCGCTTTATCGTGTCCAAACCCACAAACCAGCACCTCCAACGCACACTAACCAATATGCTATAGCTCCTTTGTTTAATCCATGCAAGGACACATTTCTACAGGGAAACTGACAGCAAGGAGGAAAAAAAGGCAAAAAGTTCAAGTAAGCTAAGCTACATGCTAAAACTTTGAAACATTAGAATATTTACCGTCTTTCCATCAAACTCTTTACAAGGAAGCTACTTGTGGCCAAGAATGAGAAACTAATTTGACTGTCACAAAACAAAACTGTTAAATATGTTTTTGATCGCCTAAGTACAGATAAGTGACATGAATAAATAAAGAAATGGATAAAGTCAATGGTTTGAAATGAATAATGAAAATACTGGTCCTCATAAATCCAGAAGTACAAACACGTGTCTTTCTAAAGTGACCCATGGCCTATGAGTGATAGTGCGAGTAATGGACCACACAGGAGGCCTCCAACTAGCCTGAAGGCAGGAATACTAAACATAAAATACAACCTGACTGTGTTGGGACACTAAAAAAAACCTACCCTTTACTTGTTGTTTTCCCTCACTTGTTCTCCCCCCTTTACCTCTAAAGTATGCAATCAATCTTTTATATTCATGCAGCATCTCTCAGTCCTTTTCAAAGCCATTTTTTTAATTCAATAAAATGATGAACCTCCACACATGAAACAAAGCTCAAAACAAAAACAAAAAAAAACCTGAAGAACTTTAACTTACTCCCGACGTAGAGGCAGGACCCTGCCAGGATGTGCCCCTTGTGGTTGTGACAGACCAGGTTGTCTCCAGACGTCTGCCTTGAGGCGTTGAGTCCTGCCAGCGTCACACTGAGGTTGGTCGGGCTCAGCACTTTGTACATGGAGCTGGGCAGCTGCTGACCGTTGAGCGTCCAAAACAGAGAGCTGGCGTGGATTTTGAGGTCGGGATGGACCCAGCAGCTGACGGTCAAGTTGGACCCCATGCGGAGGACGGGGTCCTGGGGGTAGATTAGTGCTACATCTGAAAGGGGGCAGAAGAAGAGAGTGGTTGAGTGCTTTAAAGCACATATCCTAATGTACTCTTCTTATATATTCAGCATGCTAACAACATTTAGCCTTTGCCGTTCTGGTCTGGATGTCTTAGGCTACGAAAATAAACCTTACGTCATGGTGATGTCATCAAAAGGTATGAGTTAGGTTTGGATAAAAAAAAAACATGTACATTTGGAGTTGAAGGTATGAGTGTTTACCCTGCAAAGGCATTCTAATGAGAGAAGCTAGTACAGGTGCATTATTGGATATGTAGGATCCAGTTTTGGGGGGTCTTGGCCCTACCAAAAAATATAGAATATCTTGACCTCTGCTTTGATCTTTGATTTTGACCATTTTTTTTTTTTTTAACCCACTTTTTCATGCCCCTAAGCTTCATAGCAGTGACATAGTGTACCACTGGAGCCTCTTAACACTCCACATAACTAGATTGACAGCCAAGCAGGTCGGAATAGCTGTCAGGTCCCTCATTTCCAAGGTTTTGCATTCAAATTATTTTGCAAAACAAATGTGATGTCTACTTCAGGAGAAGAACCATAAGAACAAAGTCAACACGGCTGCTACTAAACAGGATGTGAATGCTGTGGTTTGTTTCTTGCCTTACAGTCCCAGCATGCAGCTGTGGTTACAGTATGAGACTACAAAGACAATCGAGGCAAAGTAAATGTTCATAGTCCGAGATAACCTGTGTCAAGATCGCTTGATGTAAGAGGTTGAATTTTGATAAAACGTGAGGAAAGGTTGAAATCCATCGAAGGAACTGGAATGTCTTTCCCTACTGCTGTGTTTTTTCTGAATGATCTTGATGTGATGTCATTTTTTTTCAGCGGCCTCCCAGGGGGGGAAAAAAAACGACATTTCGTCTTCTAAAGTAACAAACAAGAAACTAGTGGCAGACTTTTTACTCTCACGACATGTAAACACGGCACAAGAATGGAAATATTTTGTCTGATCGAAGATTTGATTTGATTTTTAAAAAAATTTTTTTTAATGTTGCCCACCTCGGTAGCCCTCCCGTTAAAAACACGTAGGTAAGATGACGTCGGTGCAGAAATGACTAAGCGCTGAGCGCACCAACACTTTGTCAGACCACTACAAATCCTTGCCCGGGGGCCATGTCTTTTCAGCTGCCAGCCTTCTTACGCTGACAGACATTGTGTTCTCTTTCATGGAGGAGCCGCCTTTGAAGAAATTCATTCAGCCGTATCTCCACACTGATTTTCATATCGTAACCCTGACACAACACTTGCACACACGAGAACACAAACAAACACAAACAAAAAGGGCAAAAGAAAAAGTGTGTCTGTGTCTGTGTGTGTGTGTGTGTGTGTGTGTGTCTGTGTGTGTGTGTGTGTGTGTGTGTCTGTGTGTGTGTGTGTGTGTGTGTGTGTGTGTGTGTGGGGGGTTGTCTTTTGTTACTGGATACAGTGAACTCAAAGGGTGCAGTGATTAGCCAATAATATGCCGATCCAGCTGAATAACAAGCAGTGTTTATGTATTTGGGGCGTAAGGAGGTGAAGAGAAGCCCCCCCCCCCCCATCTGACACCAAATTTAACACTACAGTGAAAGACACAATTACTGCTGTTTATTGTTTCTACTTGACACGTTCACTGGAGGAAATGGCTTGTAAATGTTATTTGTTTGAAGAGGCTGTTTGAAGCACAGCGCCGTTAATACAGAGGGGGGAATTATTTGGCCAAAGACGGAGGACTCCGAAAAACATTTTCATGGACTGAAAACACTTTTTTTTTTTTTAATAAATGCTGTAAGTCTTCAAAAAGCTACACGCTTTCCTCCCCTCCTGCGTCTTAAAAGAACTATCCACACTCCTCTCATCCGCGCAGCAGCTCAAAAGAGAGCTTCAACTTTTCTCTGTGTGCTCGACAATAGACGTGCATGTGAAAACGTTTTGAGGGGCCGGTGTGGACGAGCCAAGTGGAGGAAGTCACGCAACATTTAGTGACAATGAGCCGTGCAACAGCAACTTTTCAAGAGAGATGAAATACATGCATTTTTATGTGTGTTTTTTTATTTATTACGGTTAGCATTTTACATCATAAAACTGTTCCTTCAATCTAGAGAGAGGATATATTTGTTTAAACTTCACATAAATCGAGGCACAAGCAGGAAAAATAAGACAAAGAGGGAACTAAGTTGAATCTTTAGTGAAAAGCTTCTCAAGTGTTTAAAAGGTAAAATACTTTGAACGATATTATCACATCCAACATAAATACTTCTTTATTCACTGACAAATCAACTCAAAATTATGAGCAGCACTAAAATCTAATTACATGTTGGCAAGAAAAGTTCCACATTCAAACTGTTCTATTTCAGTGGCATCTGCAAACCACAAAACACAGTATGGGCAGGGGAAGCACCCCTTCATTATTACAGTGAATAAAACAGTAACGACCAATTAGGCCCTGTAATAAACAGCAGGGCAGCTTGGGATCACAGCCCATTGTCTCCTCTAAGCCCCTGAAACTACACTTTCTTTTATTAGTGCCTTTCAAACAGGATGAATAACAGGAGATCCTTTCAGAGGAGCTGCTCTCCGCCAGTGAGCTCACCATAAAAACTAATCCAGCCACTTAAACGGGGAAGAGGACATAACTTTGATTTATTTATGTTACTGTGCATTAAGCTGCCGGTTAACATTCTCCAAAACCCGAGCGAGTGATGTCACTGTTTTGTTGCGGTCCGTGAAGCCCTCTCACCCCTTCCATGTGTTAAACGAATTATGGGCCGACTTGTTGAAATTCAGCCTCCTGGGAGATGAGTTTTGTCTCTGCGGGGATACAACAGCTAGACCTCGACAGGAGAGCATCAATAACACGAGGTGTCAGGTGGACACAGTGGCACTGGTACTTCTCTCTAAGTGTGCAGTATCTCACGAGCAAGTGAGGCCTCATTATGTAAGGCGGCTTAGAAAAAGAATCTGTTATTTCTCATTGGGAATATATTTTTCCCCCACTTAGATATTGCTGTGAATCGACTTCTGTGTGCCTGCATGGATTTTACATTGTGCAGATTCTACCCTCCTATACAGACGATTGAAACCCTTTATCTTTATCATCCTCAAGTGGAGTTGAAGTGGCGTTGAGGTTGTTTTTTAAAACCTTCATTAATGTCCCAATATTATGGCCATAAAAAATATCATCAAGGCTTTAAACTTTTAAGCAATGTTAGCACTGAAAAACATACTAAGACAACTATTTCATCATTATAATAATAACCTCTTCATTGCTTATGAATAATGCTTTTATCCCATATTGATAAAGTCATTTAATGGCATATGTTGTATTTGAAATGTTGCTATTGACAAATACCATCCTTAGATTATCAATCAATCAACAAATCTTTAATTGTAAAGGAACAAAAACTTTATTTTAACAGGCACAGACCTCGAGCAGAACTAAACTCAGCATGCCTCTATAATTAAACATATCTTTGCTTTTAGTGTTTTTGTACAGTTTTATAGACATATCCTTCTTCAAGATTGATTCCTTCCATAGCCAGTCAATTTTGTTGTTTTACTTTTATATTTCTAATTTAGTGATTAAATCCTTTATGATATAGCCACGGTCGCTTTGACATAGCTTTTATGGATTTTGTAATGACTGCATAGACTAATAGACTTTTAAATTGTAGGCATATTCGGTTAACTGAAATATTCAATTATCAGCGATTGACGCTCGAAGTTTATCGACACATTTTGCATGGATTAAAAACTTTCTAAAACAGTATAGCCTACACTTTACTGCCTCATTATGGCTTGTGTGATGTTCTCTGTTTCCTTTTATATTTCTCTTAAGAAGTGTTCTAAGAAATGATTGATGTAGGGAATATTTGTTTAATAGCTCTTGGAGGTTATTTAGTGTTTGCATGCAGTAATAACCTGCTGTCAAAACCCAAGTTTGTATTATCGTTAAGATGCATACTAGAGTATAGGTTAGTGACACATACAGCTGTTTGCAGTAAGATCCTTGGTTGACCCATGGATTGAACTGATTTTAGTGGACTAAAAACACACCCCATACCCCAACCCTTAATTCGCCACAGTGAGACCCTGACTTTGCGCATCGATGGACATCTGTGTGCTACTTACGTGTGGACAAGGTCAGCACGCCGGGGATGTTCAGCATGAGGAAAACCAAGCAGATATCCAAGACGGTTTTCATGTTTCCCACAGTTTTGCTTTATGTCTCTCCTGATTCCTCGTCCTCGTGGTGTTGTGATGTCGCCTTCTTCTCGATCTGGGAGAGAAATTACGCACAGTGGGAAGAGGAAAAACAGCCCGGGTTCAAGCTGAGTGCTCCGGATTTTTTTTTTTTTTTTTTTTTTTTTTTTAATCGAACAAGACAACTCTCAGGAGTGAAGGGGCGCGGGAGAAAACGTGTGACCCGGTGGATAAAGTCCCTCCTGAGGACCCATAAGGCCACTCGTCCTTCTGTAAAAGCCAAAAGAGTGAGTATAACGAGTTGTGTCTGCAGTCGTTTCTCCTCTTAATGCTTCCTGCAGCTCAATCACACACAAGTTCATACTTCTTATGCCCCTCCCCTCTCCCTTCTCTCTTCCCACACACAGTCATAGTCACAGTCATATCCCCCTCTTTCCGTCCTTTCACTGCTCCTTTCTTTTTCTTTTTTCTTTTTTTCTTTCTCTCCCCCCTTCAGTGATGGGTTGGTAGGGGAGTCAGGGCCATTCACTTTCACTGAATCACCCTGTCTCTGTTTCTTTCCATGCCTCAGGTCCCTGCTTTACAGTTTTTCACCATAGGAGACTATTGAGCCTCTGAGAGTTACAGGAAAGGTTTACAAATCCTAAATTGTCCTTTTCCCTTTCTCTCATTTCTTTGAGCTAAACCCCGTTTTTCACACACAAGAAACTCTTTGTACCCAATACAATTAATTTCTCTTTGGATACCGGTTTTGATCCAGATATGATTGACAGGTCTGTATTATGGTGTGTTGAATTAAATGTGAAACCGTAGGACATTGTAGCGCTAATATCCCCTTAACTCTTTTACAGTTAATCTTCCCTTTATGTCAAAGAGGTTGCTTTATTAAACAAACACGGTTATCTTAAAAAAACTAGTCACAACACAACACTCTCATACCGTTTTCTGGCCTGTGACTTTCACAATACACCAATTCTAGTGTGTGTGTGTGTGTGTGTGTGTGTGTGTGTGTGTGTGTGTGTGTGTGTGTAGTGTGTGTTTGAGTCAGTTAACCAGAGGACATTTAAGCCAACATTAATATTACACATTTTTTTCTCTTACAATGTAAAAGGGGAATCAATAAGACATCTAGCTGCTGTTTGTATAGTTGTGCATTATACAACAAAACTTGTATTTCCATCATTAGGTAGATCATTTCGATTTTTGCAGCAGGTTTAATTATTAGTCAGACTTTGAGTCGATGGTTTAGGTTAACTTTCACACCAACTTAGAGGTCTAAACTCATCACTAACATTAAACTGATGAATTCTGGGATAAAGTTGACAATGTTGCCATGAATTCTATGTAAATTAAAATCCTTGGGGGGGAAAAAAATCATGGTTGATCATCAGGCTTCTTACCCCACCACAGTCCAGCAGATAATGTTGAAGAAAACATGTATATAAGATTTTTTTTGGGGGGTATTACAATACAAAGGAACATTGTCCACGCAAGCGTCGCTCTTGGTTCTAAAAAGTTCGTCTTAAAATGGAAACTCAGCATCCCTCACTGTAATATTCCATATTAAACACGACCCTGTGGTTTCTTGTCAGGGGATGAAACATTTGTTTACAATCCTATTGTACTGACGATGCTGCTCATTATTTTATTTTTTTAAAGGCGGTGACTAAGAACAAGTTAAAACATGACGTCCCAAGACAGCCACAAACTGTCTCACTTACTGCAGATTTATGCCTTATTTATTTAAATTGCCCTTTAGGCCTAGGTGACCGTCATCAAATATGTAAACAACAAACCCAACAGCGCCGTTTATACATATAATAAGAGGTTAAATCAGAGGACCGCAAAGTTTGATCACCAGACCTTTTCCCAGCAGTCATTTTGACGAGGAAAACCGCAGGTGTTACTAATTAAATCCACAATGGCTCCGTTTTGTTCCGTTAAGCCATGACAATGAGCAAAATGCACATTACCAAGACCCTTAAGCCGAAGCAGCCATAATGGCACTCAGCCATTATTCATTGTAAAGCTCCTGTGAGGAGTTTGATTCATGCTTGTAACCCCAGCTGCAGGTAGACGGTCAGATAAAGTGAGTTCAGTGCGCTGCCCTTTGTTGCCATTCATTTCCCACAGCAGAGACTGTTCAAAGATACGATTTTTTTGAATCAGAAAACAGTATTTACACACACAGGACGAGATCAGCAATAAGAGGAACCACTTTGTCCACTGGGGGCCGAGAAATGGATGCAAACCTGACTTTCCTCACAAAAGTTTTGATATTCATAAATGTGGATCAGAATGTATTCGGTCTCTTTTTTTATTACCCAGAGGAGAATTTGTTTCGACCCTAAAAACATGTATCACAGGAACTGATGACAATGAGCGGCAGAAATTGTATAGAGCCTGGCTGGTTTAATGCCTCTCCAGAGAGGGACAGCCTTCATTTGTTGTGAGAGGTATAGGTGAAACTGATGATAGGGTTGTTTGAGGACATAAGCATGGACTTAGATGTTGAAAGCTACACCGAATAAAAGTCTAAAAGGACAACCTTTTTATAAAATGTTAAATTTAAGCTTGACCGAGAATGCAGAAAGTTTTGTCTAAGCACAAGCTGTTGAAAAAAATCTTCTCTTGCTAAGAAATTACTACAAAAACTATTCTTGTGATGTCTTATAAACCCATCAGCGTGTCACAAAATTAAACACAATCAATACAATTTGAAAGTTGCCAAATATAGCGTCCTACATGAAAAATACAATTAATTAGAATATGAATACTGTCACCAAATACATAGAAAATAAACCTCTGTTCTTGGTACAATCCCACACTATTAAAAATGCAAACAATAGGAGTGCATGACATGAGGTACAAGAAGACAGTTGCTGTATATGCAATGCAATGCAATTTAGGTATTAAATAACTAAAAATATTCATGCACCACCAAAAATGTTGGCATCATAGCAGAAGTACAACAATAATTGCAACTAAATCAGGGCACATTTGTTTTAAATTTGTGTCTTTATGAAGCATTGGAATTGCAAATGCTATATGGAGAAATTGGACAGATTAATGGAAACACTTTTCTAGTTTAAAACCAAAGTTTTCCACAGGTATTTAAGTTTTTTTTTCAAAACAATCTAAAAAAAACGCACCTAATGTCTGAGGCGTGAGACGGTACAAAACTTTTTTTTTCTCAGAAACATAAAAGGTCAGATAACACATCGGCCAATCTGCCTTGACCTTTCAATAAGGCCTTGGATTGTGCAGAAGAGGGAGGAGCCAAGAAGGGCAACTGTTTGTTTCCACAGAAGAAGCTTTATTTTCCAAGGATGAAGATTTCCTATCAGGCAAAGAACCTAGATGGCATTTAAGTGGGAGTCCTCTGATGCAGGGCTCCACCAGCCCGTCATTGCTAGAGAATCAGAGAGCAGGGAGACCCAGCAGGGAGAGGAAATGTAATCACATCAGGGTCACAGTGGGATTGAGAAATCCACATTTGGGCCCCAGAGTGTGTCTGGAGAACAGAAACTCTCCTCATGTTCATCACCTAAATGGGCACCGTGACTAATGTTTGACTAATGGTGGCCTGAGACGTACACGAATTAGTCCTGGACCTCCTCGGGTGGGACAAGAAGTGAGTCAGCAGGAGTCCAGACAGAGACTGGGCCTGACAGCCGTGACGACCTTTGGGTCCCTGCCTACAATGTCCCCCTTTCTCCTCGCTCAGAGGGGACTCTTGTTTGAGGGGCAGTTCCCGCTCGTGCCCGGTCGTTACTGTCCAGGAACTGTGAAGAGAAGTTCATGACAGTGTTGTGGCCGTTGTCTCACTTTCCGGTCATTTCTCTCCAATGCCTATTCACAGTGTCATCGTTGGAATAGCTGATTTATGATGTGCAGTCAATACTCTTCATTCTCTGAGTGGAAATGCTGTGTCACTGACTCCGCCGACGTGTCAATTGCTTCTTACACATACAACGTCTTTCACATTTACATTCATGAGATCACTCATGTTTGCGCCACTCATACTCCTCTTAGGTCTACATATGGATACAAAGACAAAAATGTGTGCAGCACAGTCGAACACACGAACCAAGTTTTTTAATGCCACGTCTTCCCAACAGACTTTCTTTAATCCAGAACATCACAGACAGAGCAGAAGACTGCGGTGGCAGTGAAAGAGTAAAGATGGTGACAAAGAGTGAGGCATTGGGAGTCTAAGGAGCAAATAAAGGGTTAAGTTAGACAAGGAAATCTGCTTCTGCCAGTCATGTGAGCATGGTACTTAAAAGATATATTTGTAATTGCAAAATAAGAAAACTGGCTCAATGCAAACCAATTTTACATGGAGCTAGATAAGCTGGATAGATTGTTATGTTGTTTGTGTTGCTAAATCCACCACATTTGGCCAGACTAAATTATCTCAACAACCATGGGAAAGAACATTCATGGCTCCCTGACTATAATTCCTAATTCCTTATCTTTTGTTGTCCACTGACATTAACTTTAGCACCTGCCAGGCTCAGATTGGTGGTACTGCATGAAAAATCTACACAATCACATTCATGTTTCATTCAGGAAGAACTGCAATTTTGGTGCTCCTCTCCATCCGTCCATTCATCCATATTCTTCAGCTTATCGGAGGCTTGGTCGTGTTGGCAACAAGTCAACACAGACTTCCTTTTCCCCAGCAACGTTTTCGGGCTCCTCCTGGGGGATTCCAAGGCGTTCCCAGGCCAGATGGGAAATATAATCCCTCCAGTGAGCTCTGGGTCTATACGTGGGATCTCCTCCCAGTTGGGCGTGTCCAGGAAACCTCCAAAGGGAAGCGTCCAGGAGGCATCCTTCAGATGCCCAAACCACCTCAACTGGCTTTTTCCAATGCAAAGTCCCCCAAGTGTCTGAGGTCCTCACCCTATCTCTAAGGCAGAGCCCAGCCACCCTCCTGAGGAAACACATTTTGACTGCTGGTGTCTGCGATTTCTTTTGGTCACTACCCGTAGCTCATTACCATAGGTGAGTGTTGAAATGAAGATCGACCTGTAAATCGAGAGCTTTGCCTTGAGGCTCAGATCAGACCTTTATGGTCCAATACAACGCCAGCATTACTGCTGGCTCTAAACCAATCCGCCTGACAATCTCCCGGTGGACTCCAAGCCAGAATTGGAGCACACCTTCCGGTCCCCCTTTATAAAAATGGGGACAATCATCCCCATTTTGCTACTCCGCAGGTCCTGTCCCAGACCTCCACGTAACACTGAAGAGTTGTGTCAGCAAAGACAGTCCAACAATGTCCACAGCCTTAAGCATCTTGAGGAAAATCTCATCCACACCTGGCACCTTGCCACTGAGAAGCTTTTAAACTACCTCA